CACAGAAGAGGATATTGAATATCTAAATAAACCTATTTTAGAAAAAGAAATTGAACAAGCTTCCTAAACCTGATTCCTAAATTGATTGAGCTTCCTAAGAAAAAAAGCATCAGGATAAAATGAATTTACAAATGAATTCTATGAAACATTTAAAGATCAACTCATTCAAATATTAAATAAATTATATAGAATGACAGGCAAAGAAGGAGTTCCACCAAACTCCTTCTATGAAAGAAATATGGTACTGACACCTAAACAAGGAAGAGCAAAAACAGAGAAAGAAAATTATAGATCAATTTCACTAATGAATATTGATGTAAAAATCCTAAATAAAATACTAGCTAGGAGACTACAATATATCACAAAAATTATATATTTTGACCAAATGGGATTTATACCAGGACTGTAGGGCTGGTTCACTGTAAAGAAAACTATTAACATAACAGTAGTAATAAGACTCACATGATTATATCAATAGATGCAGTAAAAGCTTTTGACAAAATACAACACTCATCCCTATTAAAAACACTTGAAAGCATAGGTATAAATGAATTTTTCCTTAAAATCATAAGAAGCAGCTGCCTAAAACCATCGGCAAGCATTATATGTAATGGGAACAAGCTAGCAGCCTTCCCAATAAGATCAGGAGTCTATTATCACCAATATTATTTAATAGTTTTATTAATATTTAATACCACAAATTTCTATTATCACCAATATTGTTTAATATTATACTAGAAATGCTGGCAATAGCAATCAGAGAAGAAAAGCAAATAGAACGAATCAGAATAAACAATTGGGTAATATAATAAAACTATCTCTTTTTGCAGACGATATGATGGAATATTTGGAAAATCCTAGAGATTCAACTAAAAAGGTAGTTGAAACAATCAATAATTTTAGCAAGGTAGCAGGATATAAAATAAACCCAAATAAGTCATCAGCATTACTATATATCACCCACAAAGGCCTACACAAAGCAATAATAAGAGATAGTTCATTTAAAATAACCATAGACAATATAAAATACCTGGAAGTATACTTGCCAAGACAAACTCAGGAACTATACGAAAGGGATTATAAAATACTTTTTATACAAATAAATTAAGATTAAAATAATTGGAGAAATACTAATTGTTCACAGATAGGCTGAGCTAATATGTTAAAAGTGACAATTCTACCTACATTAATCTACTTATTTAGTGCCATCCCAACTGAATTACCAAAAATTATTTTATTGAGTTAGAAAAAAATAATAACAAAATTCATTTGGAGAACAAAAGGTCAAGAATATCTAAGAAATTAAAAAATGTGAAGTAAGAATGTGTAATGTACAAGATCTTAAACTGTATTATAAGAAAACTACCTGGTACTGGCTAAGAAATAGAGATCAGTGGAATAGAGTAGACATATAATACACATTAGTAAATGATTATAGTAACCTTGCATTTGATAAATGTAAAGTTTTAAGCTTTCAGGATAAGAATTCACTGTTTGGCAAAAATTCTTGGGAAAACTGGAAAGTAGTCTAGCAGAAATTAGGTATAGACATATATTACACCATTTACCAAGATAAGGTCAAAATGTATACATGACCTTAACATAAAAGAAGAACATGGAACATATTACTGATCACATTTATGGGTAGAACAAGAACTTATGAAGAAATAAGTGAGAACACTGAGCTGTAAAATGGATAATTTTGATTATTTTAAATTAAAAAAGTTTTTGTACAAATAAAACCAACGTAGCCAAGATTAGAAGGAAAGCAGAAACTTTGGAAAACGTTTTTTATAGAAAATTTCTCAGATAAAGGTTTCATATCTCAAATATATGGTCAAAGGATATATATGAGACAAATGATAAGCCTGAGAGACAGAGTTTCTGGGTAGGGTAGCTGATAATCAACAGATAGATGGTCAGTGTTTCTCCAAGTACCCAAAAACAAAATCATGGAGATCATTAAATGCTTAAATACCCTTGGAAAAGGAGGTGCCCACGACAGATGAAAATCAACTCTGGTGAACAATTAATGAGGAGGTGGACACAATAATGAGGAGGTGGGTTAAAAGTCTTCAGGTCCTCCTGCTGAGAATGTGGCTTGATCATGAGACTCAGCCACCTCCAGCAATCTGGACAAAGGAATCAGTTCTACCCAGACTACTCTGGTTGGTTTTCTCCTTCCTAAGTTGGGTTACCCTAAACTCCAGTGAAGGAATATGGGCTTATTTTCTAAGGGCAAGAATTCACCTAGATTAGATTCTACTTACATTCTAAACAGAAGTAAGGTCTTCAGTTGGGGGTGTGGTTGGGGCTGGGTTCCTGCCTAAGATCCCAGAGCATGTACCCAGAGCATTTAGGCAATCTCATCTGACTGGCCTACAGGGACTGGTCCCTGAATGAGGAAATAAGGAAAACCTTAATCCTAATTTAATAATTGGTTAATAATTGGTTATCAATAGAAAATAATATAATTTCTCTCAATATGAACAGGTGTTTTGGGGGAAGAAATCAAAGCTATATATAGTCAGATGAAAAAATGATCTAAATCATTATTGACTAGACATGCAAATTAAAACAACTTTGAGATACCATCTTACACTTATCAGGTTGGCTAGAATGATAGGAGGGAAAAATGACAAAAATTGGAAATGTGAAAAACTGGGATACTAATACATTGTTGGTGGAACTATGAACTGATCCAATCATTTTGGAGAATAATTTGGAATTAGGCCCTAAGAGTTCTAAAACTCTGTATACCCTTTGACCCATCAGTACTACTGTTTCCCAAGGTGATCAGGGAAAAAGAAAAAGAACCTATATGTTCTAAAATATTTGTACTCTTTGTGGTAGAAAGCAACTGGAAATTGAAGGGATGTCCTTCAATTGGGGAATGACTGAATAAGTTGTGGTATATGATTGTGATGGAATACTACTGTGCCGTAAGAAATGATAAGCAGGTTGATTTTAGGAAAACATAGAAAGACTTGAATGAAATAATGGAGTGAAATGAGCAGAACCAAGAGAATATTATATGTAGTAATAGCAATATTGTTCAAAGAGTAAATGTGAATGACTAAGCTATTCTAAGTTATATGAATATTCTATTCAACTACAAAGGACCTATGAGGAAGACGCCACCCACCTCCAGAAAAAGAACTGATACGGAACGATGGATTGTATAGTGTCGTGTGTGTGTGTATAACATGTTGGCCTTCTCTAGTGTGGGCTTCGGAGGATGGGAGATAGCTTGGAACTTCAATGTAACAATAAACAATTAAATAAACAAACGAATAAATGAATAAATAAATAAAATAAGTGATAGAACTGGGATGACAGAGGGGGGAAATCTATTGAAGAAGACAGGATAGAATGGGATCACTAGAGCAGGTTGAAGGGTAAGGCCGCCTCACCATGTGAGACAGAGGTGAAGGAGATAGTGGCAGAAGGCATATATGTGTGAAAGAGATGAGGAACAGGGGAGGAAATGTATGGCCTCAACTTATTCTTTGCATTTAAGACCATCATACTATCCACGGTTTATGATGAAAGGGGTAGGTGATAAGGTCTGGTTCAAATTTTGGGATGGGAATAAAAATTGTGGTGGTGTGGGTGGGGAATGAGCTTTGGATGATGACCTAGAGGGGTTCAAGATCACTGGGACGTGTAGGGTATGACCCAATGTTAGAACATTCATCATTAAATGGAAGTTACCATTCTTCCTAAAGGAGATCAGGTTGGACACAAGTGAAGTGTGATACAGGAAGAAGGTATGTGGACAGATGGTCATATGTGATGTCCTTGTCCATCTGAAAACTGGAGAGGATGCAGAGAGTGTGCAGCAGGTAGGGGAAGTCAAACCTCTGCAGCAGCCATCAGTCCCGTTTCTCACCAACTTTGCTCCTCCCTGAAGGAGTTGGGATAACAGACAGAAGGCCTGAGGTCCAAGGGAAGGTTGCTCCTTTTTGCACAGAGGTTCTTCACCTCTTGTTTTGGGAGACTGAACTGGCTGCAGGAGATGGAAGTGTCCTTGTGCTGGCCCAGATGGAAGTCATTGCTTTGAGGCTGATGAAAAACATCCATTCAGGCCCCTTGCCGGGAGATATGCCGAGCAGCAAAGCAGGCAGAGGAAGGTTTGGCTCCTCTTTTTATTGACGCTGGACCCCTCTGGCATTCTGGTGAACGCTTTGGGACCCTCTTGGTATAATGGTCTTAAATGCAAAGGATAAAATACTTAATACTAAGGAGACCAAATATATTGAAAGTTACCAAAATGTTTTTCAAAAGTGTAGGGATTGCAGATGAAGAATCCCTGCACCAGCCATCTTCTCCCTCTTCACCAAACCACCACATAGATGCTTCTCTGTTTATATGTTGCATTGCCCTTGGTACAATGTAAGCTCTTTTCAGGGTCAGGCTCTTCTGCTTTTGCATCCCCCGCACCTACAGGGTGCCTTGCCTATCCTAAGAGATAAAACATCGTATTGTATCGTATCACTGCAATATATTGGTCTCTAGTGGCAGAACAAAGAGGAATGAGTGCAGAGAGGCAGTCTTTGGCTTGATTTAAGGAAATAATAATTCAAATGATCCTTAAATGCAACTGCTTTTGGTGTATTAGGTTCCTTCTCACTGGTCTGCATGCAAACACTGGATGATCATTGGGTGGGGTGTGCAGTTCGACAAAGTGCTTTCACACAAGGCAAAGTGAGTGTCTGCCAAAGGGTCTTCTCAGTCTCTTCTTGAAACCCTCCTTGACCTTATTTAGATGAAGAAAGCAAGGCTGAGAAACACTAAGTGATTTCCTTGAGGTCACACGGTGACAGGTGCTAAGCTATACTTGTCCCAACTGGTGCTTTCAGGTATGATGTAGGTTCTCAAGTTATTCCAGTGGAGATTAAGGTTAAATGTTGTAAAACTGAGACACTTAAAATGATGGAAAGAAACCTCTGAAAAGTTTTCAACGATACGAATCCAAACAGACAACAAGAAACAGGTCATACAGAATGATTATCAATTGTTTAATTACAGATATATACAGCATTTAAATCTTATGGCTGGTTCTTTTATTCCTCCAATGTATCATATACTTTAAAATACTTTTTGCACAGTCTTTTAGGCAAACTACATGCTAGAAATCTGTAAATGCACAACTTAACACTAAACACAAAAATACATTCTAGATCCATTCAAATACAAGTTTAAGACACTTTACTTGGCAGATAAACAATGACAGGATATTAAAAAAATCATAAACTACAAAATGAGCACAGAAAGATTTTCCCTTTGGGATTCTTAATAAAATACTGCTCTGTATAAGTTCTAATGAAAAATTCCAGTACATATAAAATATTTATATCTATGAGGATAAAGAAATGCTTCAAGATATATCTGGAAAATTTAACTTAATTACATTGTTTAAAGCAAATAAAAAGTTGAAGTCATGGATGATGTAGCACAGATCCATTATTCATGTACTATAACATATAAAAACTAAAAGAAACAATTGGGCATCAGGTAGAGGAAACTGTACGCAACCTGTGAATAAAAAGAAAAATGAACTGTAAGGTATGAAGAAAGGATGAATGGAACCCACAGCAATCTATGGTACAAATTCTCATCTGTTTGATTCTGCATGAGCTTATAGCATGAGAATATGGCTTCAGATGATGAAACAGAAGCTTAACTTACTGGCCTTGGTAATTCAGACAGGGTATAGAGCTGGAAGGAACTTTAGAAATTATCTAGTCCAATCCTTTCATTTTAGAGAAGCAGAAAATGAGGCCCAGGCAGTGACTTGTTCAAGGTCACACAGGTACTAAAGTAGAAGAGCTCGGATTTGAACCTGTCTTTTGTCTCCAAATCTAGTGCTCTCCAAAATCTGTGAGCTGGAGGTACAATACTTCTGAAATACACTAGTTTGGAAGGGGCAACTACTATAAAGATTTATCTCCTGGAAATGGGATAGTTAGTGCCCTTCATAAACTGCATTTCAGATAGCTGAATGCTTTGATACGGCCATGCACTTTATTACTTCTTCAGTTCCCATTCTAAGTGTTGGACACAATTAAAATGTTTTGTCTCCAAATTTTATACCACGATTATTCTAAGAAACAAGAAATGACTAAAAAGCTGTATGTTACACTACTTTTCAGTACTGAATCCTATGCTATGAATTCCCTACGCTAAATTTTATTTCTCCTCCTTAAGGAGTAGCCCTACAAAACATTTTTTATTTCAGTAGCCCTACCCAATGTAAACAAATTCTATCTTTTGTTATAATACTATCTCGCTGCTTAGGGCGTCTGTGTGGAGGACCTGATAACTGTGATAGGCATATCTTCCTTCTGGAATTCAGAGTCTATATCTCTAATTAGGAGAGGCACCTTCTAAAAGTTTAGCTGCCAAAGTCTGATCAGTAAAGCCAACAAAAACTAGCAGCACTGAAGATTTATGCTGCTCTCCAAGGCAAGTGAACTGTGATTGGCTTCTTTCTTGGTGAAACATATTTTCATATACACTCAGGTCCCCCCAACCCCATCAAAAAAAAAAAAGGTGAGGTGGAAGTACATTTTGACTGATAAGCAATTTAAAAACACTGAGAACTATAATAGCCTTTAATGAAATGATTTTCCAAATAACCTTTAGAGACAAAGTTATTTTGAATAGGCTAGAACGGTACTGGTCAAGAAAGCAGTGTTCTTATATATTTTGTCTTGATGTTTACCATCAGCTTTCCCCTCTTTTTAAATAGTCCTAATCAGGTATAGAAAGTTCTCAGAACAAAAATGAAACCATCTTACATCTATATATCTATATCTCCACTAGCCGTCTAAAAAATAAACCGACAAGAAGCATTTCCAATCATAACTACTTGGATGCCTTTTGTTAACTAGCAAGTTCCAAGGTGGAACTAAGGTTCATTTACAGATGAATTAAAATCCTCAACTCATCCATTCTGAGACGCCTAAGTATGTAATATCTGGGTTATTTAATCTATAAAGATATAAAAATAATAATAGATTACAAGTAATTTGGAAAAACATAAGAAGTATCCTTGAATGCAGATGATGAATCTGCTAAATCTGGTCAACAAATAAATATACTTTGTTAACCAAGTATGTACCTAACTAGTGCTTAAATATAGAGTTAAGGGGCACTTAAGTATTCTTTCTGAAACCACTTTGGGCTTAGCTCTTCCGACACCTAACATATTCTAGGAGTCTAATCACCAAGAAGAGTCTGACCTGCAAAAAGAAGGCAGTAAGGTAAACAGGTAGCAACCCAGGGGACTACTTTGAGCTTGCCTTGGATGGAAGGGTTAACCAGAGAATTTAGGCTGTCAGGCCCAAAGTCTTAATCCTAGGAGAAATTCTCAAGACTACACCAGGCATGACCATAAATGGAAACAAGATCCTATAATTTAACTGGATGGAGGTGGATAAGCTCACTTGGGGCCTTTAAATCTTCATTTCTGGGGCAAAGTTAGCATCATTTAACTTTAAGCCCCCTGAAGAGAGTAGGTGAAACATTTCCATTTGCCTTGTGTATTCTATTCCATTTCATCTCTGTAGCCTCAGTCATACAAGCACTTGGAAAAGACCTTCACGGAAAAAAATGAAAGCCCTATAGGAATTCATGACTCCTAACTAATCACTTGGTGGCAATTATCTCTACGAATCAATTCAGTCATTTGCTTGGCATAATGCTAGGGCAATTCTTCTATTTTAAGGTGACATCTTATAAAATTTTGAGCAAGCTTTACTAGGACATTGACAGTATTTAAGATGCAAAATCGTACTCTACGGAAAAAAAACCCCCTCTTTTTGCAGTTTTGGAAGTTCTTCTCTTTACGTCCTAAAAGAAGTTATATTGACATTACCAAGTTGAAATGATTTGTTAGTTTACATAGCTGCCAGAGATGAAGATTTTAATATACCATAAACATAAGATGTTAGTATTGACATCACTGTTTCTATTAGATTTTTTTTCTCTAGGGTTCCAAAATAGGAGGCGAATGTTTCCCATTCCTAATAAGCAGCCCCTATGTATCTGAAAGCCAAGAATGACTGCTGGCTATTGAGCAGTGGCACGGATATAGGGAGTTTGCAAAAGCATGGAAACAACACTCTGAATTTCTTGACTCATTAGACACTGTTCACTGTAACCACAATATACAAAGACTTTCTGAATAGTAAAAATCAAGGAGTTGGTATCTGAAGAGCCTAGAAAATGAATATAGGAGATGGTGAATAGCTTAAAACAGTAATATATCAATTATGGCCATCTCCTTGTGCTAAAGGCACTACTGATATGTTAATATCACTTTATATAGCCTACTAGAGGAACACTGGAATCAGCACAGAGAGGAAAATATTAGGTTAACAACTGAATTTTGAGAATAAAAACTTCTTTAAGATCCACAGTAGAACAGAAAACCAATGAAGTTGGACACAAGATTAAAAAGCAATACCACATTAGATGTGTGGCCCTTTTCTTTCTTTTTTATCTTTTTTTTTTTAAATAAAGCATATGACAATGCCCATTCCTTAAAAAAACCCAAATAACAAAGACTAGATCCTTGAGTATACAAATTTTGCCTCAGTGACACTGAATTTTTAACAAATTTTAAAATAATTTCAATAGTCACACATTGAATATATACACACTCTCATACATGAATATAAATATAAGTAACATGCAAAGAAAACACAATGCAAGTCACTAAGCAGTTCCAAGAAAGGGTTTAAAAATATGGAACTGATATGAAATAGACATGTGCCATAGAAATAATATATAAAATAGAAAAGTGACTGATGTTTGCTCCTACATAAGCACACACCCTGGAATTTAAACTATATTTAAGATTTCTTTAGTCTCCTAGGCAGCATTGTGTTTGAATGAGAGGCAGGTTCACATGGTGGTAAAGCAGCAGCTGGAAAATCATACAGAAGAATTATATTGACATGATTAATGATTTGCATCATAGTTCAACAGTCTATTCATTTATAGTAATTGAATCTTGTAGATATTTAAATTAAACTATTGTTACTTAACAATGCTGGTTCATGAGCAACCCAAGTGTTTTTTAATTAATCACTCAAACCTAATTTGCTACTATTAAAGTTCTAGACATTTAGAGAGATCAAAGTTCTGGTTGGTATTTGAAAGCAGCTTTGGTATAAAATTTGGACAGAAAGCAAGCCTGGCAGCAGCAGCCCCATTAAGTTTATTTTCTTTTAGGCTCAAAGGACCCATAGAGCCAAAGAACACAAATTAAGATGCAAAGAAATAAGAGCCACTCCTCTCTTCCCCATCCATTTTATTAAACTATTACAAAAATAAAATTCACCTATAGTAAATTATGTTTGAGGCCCCATTTCAACTCTACCACTATTTACTGCCTCAAATAAAGATTAGAAAATGCTATTATTATTATTGCTCATATAATCTCCAAGTCATGGTGCTAAGACGCTCCTAGTATCTAAGCACAATGGATGGATGGAGTGGTTCATTTTTAAGTTTGCTTCTTCAGTGCCTTTCACAACACCAACTTTTTGTACATATACTTTTAACAGTCTGAGAAAAACCTAACAACTAAAAGATCTTCAGTTTTTCAATACTACAAACCTGTTTTTTAAATAGTGCATTCTTGTTTTTTTTTTTAACAGGACACATAAGATCCTTATTAAAAAAGTTTGGGGAGGTTGTAAAGAAAACATTAATTTAATCCTAAATACCATATTTATTCTGATGGTTTAGAAACACCAAAGTTGACTGCCAGTTTCCTTGGTTTTCGTCTTGAAGAACTTGGTGTTGATTTAGCACGAGAAGTACCAGAGCTTGAAGAGGCTACTCTGTCTTGAGAAGAAACTGTAGTTGGAGGAACTTGAGGTGACTTTAAAGATGAAGAACTCTCCTGGGAAGTTAACTGGGCACCTTCTGAATGCCCTGGGGAGTCTGGCTGAAGAGAAGCGGCCTGAGAAGAACAACCTTGGGCTCCCTTACACTCAATGTTCCTTTTGTTTGCAGCTCTTTTCTTTGTAACCTTCAAGGAAGACACATTTCATTAATTAAAATTTTTTTCTTAATGAAACTACTGGTAGCAACTACTGCCATAGGCATCACCTATCATAATTTATCAAATCCCACAATCAGGTAGGTATTGTAAATAGAGTACTACATATAGCTGACTGAAAACGTACTTTGGCAGTTACAGAGGAGAAAGTTATATGTAACACAAATTATTATGACTTTAACACCTTCTCTCAAATATACAGGCCTAAGAGAGCCACTGGAGGCTCTGAAGGTTAAGTGACTTGCCCAAAGTCACGCTTGGGAAGATCCTGAACCTGGGTGCTCTAAGCCCAGAGGCCAGCTCTCTCTCTCATCATTCTGCCATGCTGGCTCTTAAGAATGCACACCATTATTTAGTAATTCCCCATGACTCAAAGACTAGCCTTAGAGACGGCATTAAAATAAGTGTGCAGCCAAACAAGTGGCACACGCCTGCTACAAGAGAGGCGCTGGTTGGAGGATCACTTGAGTCCGGGGTTCTGTGTTGTAGAGGGTGAGCTGGCACTAAAAGGATGCCTCAGGAGTCGGGGTGCTCTTGGGATGCCTAGGAAGGGAACTTGGCCCCTGGTGGGGAGCGAGGGGAACGCTGCAGCGCTTTCAGCCTGGGTGAGAGTGGGAGGCTCGGCCACAACAATAAATGAATGGATGAATTAGCCAATGCACACATATGCACACAAATAAACACGCGCTTGAAACAGAAGGCATTTTTTTCAGGCTTTACCTGCAGAGGTATGAACTGATTGTGGGGTGCAGCTGGCACTGGTCCTGTGAGAGGCATGTGTGTGGGGTACGGAGCATGGCGGTGGTAAAGCTTTCCAGGAATTGGCACTGGAGATCCCCATGGCACTGAGCCAAAGATGGGAGGAGACGGAGGCATTATGTTAGCTGTAACAAGCCACAGAAAATGTTAAACTCTTGTGAATGGAGATTTGGGATCAAAATTCTCAAGAATCAAGAATCTCCCCAACCCTTTTCTGGCTTTCTTTTTCTTCCTTGGGAAAAGGCCTACATTAAATCTGCAATTAGCTGTTCTAGCTTAAGACATTCTCCTCCTGGAGCCACTCCAATGACTGTGAACTGGCCACAGAAGTCAATTTATCATGAATACTTTTTAAATACAAAGTATATATATAGCTTCACATACTGGTATGTGTCTTTAGGAATATTTGCATTGTTATCAAAAGTAATAGAAGGGCCATTAAACTGTCCCTAGGGCAAAAGCCTGGGCACAAAGAGAGCAATCTTAAGGATCTCACCTGCCCCAAAGGCTAAGCTGCTTCCATAGTGATCCCAGCCTATAAAAAACCAAGAAAGCTCAAGTCTTGAAATCAGATCACTTTCATGTTAACATGTAAATCAATTTTATCTTCCTCAAATATTAGAAATTAGATAGTTTAAAATCTGTTTGGAATATATTTTCACGAATATCTAATTAAAAACATGAAGAGATATTAAATATTAATAATCTATTCATCAGCATAGTGTCATTGCAGAAGGTATGCACCAAGTTCACCCAAAGAGTGTCTCTGGGTAGAAAAAAAGAGGCTTTAATAATACAGCTTGATCAAGATTCAAGTACTCTGGAAATAAACATGGTAACCTTTATGCTGTATATGTGCACATATTCCAATTCAATGGAACTGGGTAGAAGTTTTTAAATGTAAACATATTGCAAATCTAGAAAACTAGGCCTTGATGCTATCTATAAATTAACTTGGCTGATTGTAGCTATAAGTTTAAAATATGTGTTATGTTATTTTGATATAGCATGCAGGTCAACTAGCTTTATTTAATTTTTCTAAATATATGGTTTTCAAGTAAAAGATGCTCCCCAGTCTTGCCTGATCTAAAGCTTGATCACAGAAAAATACAAATCTACAAAATATTACTAAAATGTTCATTTCATATTTATTTTTTATCTTGTGATTAGTATTATTCCAATTACAGCCTCAAAATTCCTTGAAAGACTTAAACTATTAACGAGTATAAAAAGATTAGAAATGTCATGCCATAAAATATAATTAATTAAAAATAACAGGGACAGCTATTATTTCTCATAGGTTTTTAAGCTATCTTAAAGTGAAAGTTTTAGGAAGAATTTTGGGTTCCCACAAACATCTGATTATAGGATTTAGAAGTTGAACACATAATTTTATCCATTTATACTTTGGAAATGAACAGTCAAATAAGAATTCTGCGAGTATACTTTATACTCAGTCTGCATTATAAAAGGACCTATAAAATTTCACATTAAAATAGTATTCAAAGGATACTCTATGTAAAATACAGCTTCCAATTTAAAAAAGAATAGAACTAATTGCTTAATAATGTCAGCCTACATGGATAATTTCTATCTTAATGGGAAAATAGTTAATTCCTGAAATCTTAAATGTCTAATTATTTTGTGTGATAAGCATATATATGATTCCCCCAAATCAGAACCTTGTAAGCACTTCCGAAAATTGAAACTCCTTTCAAAAATATTCAGAAAAATTTCATATCTCACCAGTAGGTTGGGCAAATACTGGAGGAATGGCCCCGGTGGGTACAGCAGGTGGATAATTTGGAAACATTGGTGGAGGCAAAGGAAAATTCATTCCGACAGTGCTCTATGAAAGCATAGAACAGATAAGAAAATGCAACTATATTGTACAAAAAGTAATAAAAAATTAAAATAATAGTCAAGGATTGATATTACCAGGTGTTGTAAAGCAAACAAAGCGGCTTTCTCCTTGGCTTCATTTTCAGATGGGCATTGTGGTCCATGTATTAGTAAGCCATTAGATAATTTTACCTGACAAACTGTCATTGTCTATGAAAGATAAAATATACACCCATGAGACTATGCCAGCAACTAACAATAATAGAAAGACTCATTTAAATGAAGAACTTTTACTGCAGATTATATATTTTGGAAGTAGAATTAAAAAGTCAATGATGGTTTCCATAAACAGTTGGACAAAAGATACTTGGTAACGAGCCTCGTGAAAATTTTGCAACTATTCTCTCAATCTTTGAAAATAACATAAAACTGGCGCAGCTAGGTGGTGCACCAGCCCTGCAGTCAGGAGGATGCCTAGCAAAAACAAACAAAAATCCCAAAAAGCATAAAATTAAACAAAGAGATGGATGTTTGTACACAGCACAGATTAAGAACCTAAAGGGATTTTAGTGGTCATCTAATACAATGTACTCATCTTCCAGATGAGGAAATGGAGACTCAGAGAGGACAAGTGACTTGCCTAAGGTCATGCGGGGAGCTAATGATAAAGCCAGGATTTGAGCTTAGGTCACTCTAACATCCATGCCCTTTCTACTGTTCTATACTGCCTGTCCTTGCATAGGGAAGCTCTTTGGAAGGAATTATCAAAAACTGTCTTGCTACCTACACAGAGCAGCCTGGAAACATTTGAGCAGAATGCACTGTAACCAAAATTGATAAAGGTTTCAAAGAAATATACTTTAATTTACCAATATAATTTTCCCTTACTGTTGACTAGTCTTTTGCCCTGTTGATTTTGAGCATGAACTGGAGACCAAGATATATTATGTTGACATTTAAAATCCTATTGGTGGGATGGCTAAGTAGCACAGTGTATAGAGCTCTGGCCTCGGAGTCAGGAGGATCTGAGTTCAAATCCGGCCTCAGACGCTTGACACTCACTAGTTGTGTGACTGTGGGCAAGCAAGTCACTTAACCCTGACTGTCTCACCAAAGAGCAAAAAAAAAAAAATCCTACTGGTATTTCCCATAGAATGGTGTCTAATCAGTTAGTTGAGAATGGAGTATTCTCAGGGTAGAAATTCCCTTCACCCAGGCAGACCATCAAGGTGGCTGTAACTTAAGTCTTAGAGCTGCTTTGGTGCACTGATGATAAGATGCCTTCTTCATGGGCACAAAGGCTATACTTGTCAGATGTAAGACTTTAACCCTAGGTCTTTCTGACTCTGAGGTCAGCCTTCTGGTCACTAGGATATGTTGCCTCCACTAATTTAATGTTTTAATATGTTGGTGACAATCTAAAGAGTTCAAGTTTGCTCAAAGTTCCCCTCTCATCCATGAAGCTTTCCTTGATTAACTCCATCATTTCAAATTCTCATTTACTCCATGTCCTTCAGCATGCACTATGTATGATCAGTTCCAGAAAGCACTGAATATTATCTGAAATTCGTCTGTATTTAATGAGATGTTATTGTTCTTTTGTTTGAATATAGGATGTGGCATTCTGGAAATTTAAAAGGTTAAAACACTTGGAACAGGTGGAATAAAGCAAAAATAAAGAATGAGGTTTTACTATCCTTTTGGAATGTCAAAATAAGCTTGTGGTCTTCTTTTCCACCGGCATTTTAGTGCTCCTACACAAATACAGCTTAAAAGCAATGTAGTAGTCCATTTTGATAGGGGACAACACTAGGAATGCTTTCTTGGGTGTGTGTGTGTGCGCGTGTTTTACACCAACATTTAAGTAGCAGAAACAATGAGAATAAACAAATTACACAATTTAGAAAATGCAGCTTTGAGGGGTGCTTACTTTCACACCTGACTTCTGGCACTTATATTTTTAACATTTAGCTGTTTTAAAAAATGATGTAGTGGGAATGGTTATAAATGTGTACTACTTGCGCTAGAAATTTTGCGATAGAATTCAAGATGGGATTCAATAAGGACCAAAAAGGGAGCAGGCCTAGCTAATAATGACAGGCAAGGTTATTCTGTCTGCAGAATCTGTCAGGATACTGTTACTGAGATTTCTCTTCACAGTATGTTGTAGGCCTTGAACAAGAAACATAATTTCTTTATAATTACCCTTTGTGCAAAAACTGAATCTATTGATATAGAAAAGAAACAAAGTAGAAAGCCTTTAACATACCATTTAGGCAAGAGAATAGACAAAAATACAGTGAATAAGAGACCTTATAAGAGATGGAGGAAATGTTCTACAAAGCCAGGCAGGAATAGAGAGAGAAAATCATAAACATGAATAAATAATTTTTTAAAAAAAAATTACATAAATAAAATAATATTAATTAATAATAACAAAATAATAATATAATAAGTAGAGTTAAGATTTACTAATTAAGACCTTGCTGATCAGGACTGAATATGTTTCAACCTTCTACATTCTAAGGGGGAAGGAAGATAGAAAACTAAAGTGGTGATGGAAGTACTATAAACCTCCGTCTAACACAGTAAGTCAGGGTAAAGTGGGAGAGATACTTAAGGGCCAGGAATGGCGCCTGCAGATGTAATTCACTGAAGGGCCATTTCTGCACTCTGGCCCAGTGGGAACCTCATTAGGATCACAAAGTATTTTGGGGGTGTAATATCCATCCTTCCTTACTTAGAGCGAGTTCAAAGTACTCAACACTCAAGAAACTATACTATTATTCAAGCTGCGAAAAAATGTTGGGTGCTCTAGGTCTGGCCTAGTCCAACCAAGTCCAACAAATGATTTAGGTCCATTGCATAACATGATTATTTCAACTATTCAACGATTCTAAGGCACACAGTGTTTACTTGAATTGGGAACAAAATCCTCTTTTTATTCCATCTACTGCATTTTCCTCTTACATAAGATTGAAGAGTTGAAGAATCATGTTTCTGGAAATGCTAGCAAAGGCCCAACAATGTCTATGTTTTTACTCTATCTGGCTACTGCTCATAAACTCTCTCTTTGAGTCTCACATTATTTTCTCTAGCAAAAGCTTTTTCCTCCCCCTCTGAATGCCATTAAATTGTGATAATAATAAAGTAATACTTTACCTGTGGTGTTCTGAGAAAGGTGAAATCTGGTTGTGGCATTCCAACAAGAGAACAAAGTCGAGAAAGCTCTGAAACTGGTGTGGACACAGAAGGCTGCTGGTTGAGGACAGGTCGGCCTAAACTGTCTATCGCTTGAGCACTATGACAATCTCCGGGATTATGAGGCTTATTCATATAAGCAGCTATCAAAAGAAATAAACATTTATACTTAATAAGAATGACATACCAACAAAAAAAATATTGTGGCAGTTATAAACGCTCAACTAAGGTTTACATTGCTAACCTTTTTTGACCAGAGAACAGTTAATGGTTACAACACAAAAAACAAAAACAAAACAACTCACTTTATAAATAAAACATGACCTACATCCAGTAGGCTGATGGCTGGAACCTAAAAAGCAGCTGATAAATGTTTATTGATTGATTGGTTCAACATCACCTCCAAATACTTGCCTTGGAAATGAAGAACTACTATATAAAAATGTGTAATTTTTGGCAGCGTGGAGATTTTTTGGGATGTCATTAATTGGTTCTCCGAAAATCAATCAATAATAATGTTATGAAGGCAGGGAGACCGTTTTGGGAAGTTGGCTGAACGCTAAGCAAAATTTTGAAACCTGAGTTTTCCTATGATGTATTAATGCTATAACTAACTACAAAGTGATATAGTTAAATAACAGAACTGCATCCAGATTCAGATAATAACAAACTGTGTTACAATTTCAGTCTTTATAAAACATTAGAATAGTGAATTCCTAATGTGTGGATTATACAGATCTTTCTGGATGTCTTTTCAAGGTGAAGTGTAATTGGAAAAAAATCTGTGATTTTAGTTGAATATCAAATATTTCAGAAGAAGTGATTTTACACTGAGGATACTAGAATTAATAAAAATCTTTGGGTTTAATATCTATGGATATTAAGTGTATGTTTACTAGCATATATTTATTACATACTATAACCAATAACATATACTATAAGCATATTAAATAAATAGTACATTACAAATTCTATAATTTGATCTTAGGACAACTGCACACAATAAAAAAAGGGACTGAACTTTTATAATTATTTTAGATGATTAGTACAGAACCTATACATTCTACATACCTAACTTCCTTGTTTGCCTAGGCTGTGAAGAAGATCCATAGACCTCTTTCCTATTAGAAGAGGCATTAACTTCATTAACCAATTGTTTTACTTCATTCTTGTGGTCCGCAGGGTCAGAGCCATCAATTTTCAGAATTTCTTTAAGCATCTGTGTTCCCTTCTTTAAGAAAACACAACAAAAATTAGTTATTATCCTATTGCCTTTCATTTCTTTTTGAGAATTATATTATTTTTCTTTTAATGGAACATTTTATGGTGAAAAACAGTCATGTTCCTGTCCAATCCCTGCCTGGAAGTGGGCAACAGCAATGGAAACACAGGTATGGTGCAGAGGTCTAAAGGGGTAGTTTCAGTTTCCTGGCATGGCTTTGCTTTGCCCAGAAGGCCATACTTAACAATGTAAAACATATGTGTGTATGAGTTAGTGGGCACCGTCTAACAAGAAGTTAGGTGATCCCTTCTATAAGAAAATAAAACCTTTATTTGCATGTCACAAAGTTTTGTTTTGGTCTGGAACTGTGATGTCATTAGTATAGTGTACTCTCAGTAAGGAAACTTCTGTCAAAGGGCATCTATGACTGTAGCCTGGGGCACTGATGTCACCAACCAGTACTGGAGCAGAGGCTTGACTTGGACCCAGATTTACCAACACTAGAGTAACATTAGAGAAATAAAATGGAAACATTTTTAAGAAAACTAACCATAGCAAATGACTGTGGTGACAAATGTTCTTCACTTGTTGTTGGCTCCTCGCCATACTGCACTTCATTCTCCTTGGAGATTTTCAAGGATATTAGGAAATTCTCAATTCCAGGGTCAGTCTAAGAGAATAAACATGATTTGAACATGTAGACAGAAACTACAATAATGTAGAAGGGTCTAACAGTTAATATTCAATTACGGGCATTTATTTTTATCCAATCATAATCTCACTACTTAGAATTTTTGGGAAAAGAAATCAGAAAACCTTTCTCTTACCTTCCCAACTGTCTTTGGATCTTCACTTACAACCTTCTGGACATCTGAAGCACTGGGACTTCCATTTCTCTTCAAAAGTTTAACATTACATTTGGGGGTTCCTCCAAAAGTCTGTAGAAGAGCAAACATAAACTTGACCTCTTGACTTCTTTCTTCAAACAAAATATAACTACAGCTTTAAAGGACTGTCCAAGTTAATGACTTAGGCTTGACTTACAGGACAGGTTTCCTCCTAGTACTCTTCCATCTGGACAAACTGGCCTCTGAGCTCTTCATTACACAATACACCACCTCCCTCTTTGCCTGTGCACTGACTAACCCCCAAAGCTAGAATGCACTCAGTCCATCCTCCCCTCTGCCTCATCCAATCCCATCTCTTTCTTTAAGACACAGCTCAGGCACACCTTTACACAAAGTCTTTCCTGATTTCCTCAACTGCTAGTGCCTTTCCTTTCAAACTTCCTGGTATTTATTTTCTTTATGTTTATTCTATATATACATACATACATACATACATACATATGTGTGTGTGTGTGTGTGTGTGTGTCTTTATTGGCTCCTGTTAAAATGTAAACACCTTCAAGGATTATTTCATTTATGACACTAGTAACCCCAGTACCTAGCACAATGCAAAATACAGAGCAGACACTTAATAAGTATTTATTGATTTGAAAGCAGGAGAATAAAGTATAAAAAGGCTCAAAACATGTCTATATTTCATTCACCTCTAAATCTTCACATTTTCTCCCCTCCACTGACCTGTTACATAAATCCCCAGGGAACCTCCAGATCATGCCTTCCTCTTTCACATTACCTCCAAATCTATTCCATCTCTATTTTGTATGTTTCCTAGAATGTATGCTCCTTGAGGGCAGGGACTTTATTTTGTCTTTCTTTGTATACCTTTCCCTTAGCGCAGTGCTTACAGCACGTAGTTAAGAGCTTAATAATAAATACTTGGGCTGACTGACAACTTCTCAATCTTGTGCAAGGCCTTGGTGAAGAAAATAAGGAAAGGGCTACAGAACTTAAAAGCCCTCAAGAGGGTCTATGTAGAAAGGTGATTAGTTATTAGAGTGCAAAAAATAAAAACTTGCCATAAGAAAACTTACCAAAATTTAATTTACCTGTTTATTTGCTGTCTTTTGTGACTGACATTCATTTTTAGAGATTTTACAATCTTCTTTGACTAGAAAAAAAAACAGAAGTTTGAGTAAATGAGAGAAAAATAAACTTCATCCTTGTTAATCTGGTAAATACACATTAGAGATGCATAGAGATGTAGATGAGGTTGGCTGAGTTAGAAAATGATGTAAGTTGTAGATAAAACATGTGTTGGGGAGGAGAAAAGAAGTTGCAGAAGGGTCCAGGAAAGCAGAAAGGACCAAAAGAAGGTGTGTAGGATGCAATCACAGGACCAGACGGATTTCAACACAGTGGAATGCCCATGGGAAGAGAGTCTCAATCAACAAAGAGGCCTGAGGCTAGAGAAATGCGCAGTTAATGAAACCAAGAGAAAAAAGGCCAGAGGGGCAATGACCAGTAGAAGATGGTAAGAGTAAGAATCCTGCCGCACACTGGTATGGTCCTTGGTTGTTTTCAAACATATCAGCCCTACTAAAGTCTTGACAGAGGCACAGCAGCCTCGGGGGCAGCTGAGAAAGACTTTCCTGCAGAGGAGGAAACTGAGCCTGTAAGATGAAAGCAAACTTGCCACGGTCACAAGATCAAGTGGGGCAGAGCACTGGGGATACTAGCATCCCAGACAAAAAAGCCAGAATATTTTATTCATATGAACAATGTTTTTTCAGTCAAATGTAAAATCCTTGTAAGAGTGCTCTTACGCCCCTCCTTGCTCTTATTATCAAGGGGGGGGGTGTGCATTTTAAAAACCACTGTTACAGGTGTGTATCATGCCAGGGTCTGTGCCTTCAACTAAATGTTACACGGAGTGAGTGCCCTGTGTGCAGAGGTCAGTTAGTGAACACTCTGTCACTTACAGTACTGACAGCTGCTTTTGGAAAACTTAAAATGACCTCTTTTACATGAACACACACACAGACAGATGAAAAATGATAAAGTTATTGTGCAGAGAACCATCTAATGCTTCCTCTCTGGCAGCGAGGTGGCGCAGTAGATATAGAGCACTGAGCCTGGAGTCAGGAAGACCCCAATTCAAATCTGGCCTTCAATACTTACTATGACCCTGGGAAGGTCACTTAGTTTCTGTTGCCTCAGTTTCCTCATCTGTTGTGAGGATAAAGCGAGATATTTGTAAAGTGCTCTGCAAACCTTAAAGCAGTAGGTCAATGCTAGCTATTAGTATTAAAAATAGATAAAATGAGCGCCTGTTCATTTTCCCAGTGATATCAAAACTAAAACTTTAAAAATATATTTCTAAAGTAAAAGATTTTAAAGATATCTCTGTTAACATGGGGTATTTGTAAGGAAAGTACTTTCATAAAAGGTGCTGGAAAAAAGGTATCTGAGAATTAATCAAGTATTAATATTAGCAATAACAAAGGTATAAAGATTAGCAGCAATCTATCACATTCTGAAACAATTTACAGGCCAGAGCTTTCAAGAGAATAGAACTTGGCAGTTATTTATAAATGAAACATTGCTTCAAGAAGCATATTCTTCTAAATTACAGTTAACTGCACTTACATTTTCTATATTGGTCACATTTTCTTTGCTGACCCTTAATGCTGCTGTCATTGAAGCCAGATTTATGATACTGAGTGGCAGTAGCTCCTCTGTTTATTTCTTGAGGTAGAACCAAACCCTGAAAGTTGAAATTTCCATAAATTAGCTAACCAGATACTTTGTTAACAATACCACCATTTAATTTATTTCTAATAAGATGACTTAAAGAGTTTTAAAATGCTCTGATTGAATTTCTCCTCATCTCAACTGAACCTTCCTCTTAACAAGGAAAAATAATTAAATGAAACTGACAAATGTCTGGGTCTGACAGGGTCTAATATATTTCATATCAACATTAACCACATTTTCTCTCTGAAGAGAAGGAAGTTGTGTTTCATCATTAGCTCTTGAGGACTGAGACTGGTCCAAAATAATTATCCTTTACATGACTGTAATCACTGTTCTGGTTGACCTTACTTCACTCTTTTATCAGTTCACATAAGTCTTCCAATGTTTCTCTGAATCTTTTTTTTTCCAATTCTTATAGAAGCGTCAAAAAATAAACTCCTTCCCTCCCCCAACCAAGCCACCAGAGCCCTCCTCCCAAGGTTGCTTTGCAATTTTTAAAGATGCATTTCATGTATGTTTCTGTTGTTTCTCCAGTTAGGATGGAAGTTCCCAGAGAGCAGAGACTGGCTTTGTTTTTGTCTCTGTATCCCTGTACCTGGGACAATGACTGGAGCAAAGCTGGTACTTAATAAACACTTGTTGAGTATGTGCTGAAGAATTTTTCCCAACCATAGATTTGAAATAGGCACCTTATTGTGGAAAATCACCTTTATTTTTTTTTCTATTGGGATATATGCCCCGTAGTGGGATTGCTCAATCAAAAGGTATAAACAGCTTGGTCACTATCCTTAATTCCAAAATTTTTTTCCCCAGAATCGGACCAAAGGCATCAATTCATAGCTTTAACAACAACTATGACATACCAGTGCGTCCGTCTTCCCACAGCCCCTCCACAGAGGTGTCCCCAAGGGCTATCCCCTCAGTTAACAGGGCAGAATCCTAGGTCACCTCGATCTATCCCTATCGGATAATTATCTCAGGTTCAAGGTACTCGGTAGATCACAAAGGCCCACTGATATGTTTATCCCCTTCCACAGTCACTCAGAGGATAAAATTATTTAAATATAGAGGCCCTTAATGAAACAGAATAGGAAGATTTACAATGCAATATTCTCTCCTTACTGCTCCCTCCCTCCCCAAAGAAAAATAAAATTAAAACAACAGAAGTAAAACTCAGGAAGCACTTTCCCACAAACATATATACCACCAAGAGTAACAAGTACAGAGAGAGTGCAGGTTAAGATTAGCTGATTTAAACATAACAGTTCTGGTGGTAAAGAAAGTGCTATTTCTTCTGTAGTTTTTGTTCTGTTTGTGTGTGTGTTGTGTGTGTGTGTGTGTGTGTGTTTGTGGGCTGTTTCTTCTACTTTTCTGGGATTCTAATTATAGCTACTATTATGCTGTTTTATTTTTCAGGAGTTTTATCTTAAGACTCTCTTACCTCATAGTATCTCTCCATTGTATTAAGAATCTTCTTGGCCATTTCTTCAATCTCTTGGCACTTTTTTTTTGAGAGGCTTAACTCCTAAACTTGTCTCAGAATCAGGGACTTTTAGCAGCCATTTAGTCCAACCCAAGCACTAAAGGAATCCCCATTATAACACTCTGTTAAGTGTTGACTGACCAAAACCACCTACTAAAGTATAGAAGGGTTATGATCAATCATTTATCTTTTAAAAAAGCAATAAAACTCATCTTTATGTCTTACTCCCCTATTATTCCTGGTCATGTACTCAGCTATATATCGCTGTGATCACCCAAGAAGCTCTCTGTTTTCCTAATCTTCCCTTCAAGCTCCCCTTACTGCTCTAGAACAGGCTGTTCCTTGAAGTCTGGATTCAGTCAAAGGGCTGCACTTGAGGACCGAGAGGGCCACAAGTGGCCTTGAGGCTGCAGGCTCCCCACCCCTCCTCTGGAACATGAGCGTTTACAAGGCAAAGCTAAGGTTTTGTATATATAGACAGATTCACCAGTCTATATAAATATATTTGCTAAGATACACAATACTGAACCTAAAGCAATAATGTATGTTTATAAGTTAAGGAGTGCTGCTGTAATACTTATATTTAACACTAAAAGTCATAACAATTTCAAGTAAGTGATGTTGAAATAGTTAAGGGTGAAGCTGGATTAAAAAAGTTATTTTTCTTTCCTGTTCAAAAAACATGTCTTAACAATTCCACCACTAGGTCTGTATTCTAAAGAGATAAAAAACAAAAAGGAAAAGAACCTATATAAATACAAAAATATCTATAGCAGCTCTTTCTGTGGTGGCAAAGAATTGGAAATTGAAGGGATGCCCATCAATTGGGGAATGGCTAAACAAGCTGTGGTATATGATTGTGATGGAATACTACTGTGCTATAATGACAAGCTGGATGATTAAGCAGAACCAGAACATTGTACACATTAACAGCAATAGTCTACGATGAAGAATTGTGAATGACTTAACTATTCTCAGCAATACAATGATCCAAGACAATCTCAAAGGACTAATGATGAAGCATATGATCCACCTCCAGAGAAAGAAATGATACTGTCTCAGTACAGACTGAAACATGTTATTTTTCACTTTTATTCTTTTTTCTTATTCAAGTCTTGTACAAAATGACTAACATGGAAACATTTTACATGACTTCGCATATGTAACCTATATCTGACTGCTTACCATCTCAGGGAGGGGGAAGGGGTTTGAAGGAAGGAAAGATAGAAATTAGAACTCAAACTAAAAGAAAAATGTTAAAAAATTATTTATATAGTTAATTGTGAAAAAATAAAACATTACAAGTATGTTAAAGACCAAAGAAGTAATTTTTTCTAAGAAATATTATTTATAATTATATTATATATTGATATATTATATTATATTATACACAATTATATAACAACAGCATAATCTATACAGCATTTATCAAAATTTTTTCAAAAAAATTTTTCTTTGCTTTTCCATTAATTTTTTTCATACAGTATTAGTTGCCTACTAACCTCCTGTGAATTCTGCTGAAAATGCTGAGGCTTTCCTGATCCTTGTAATGACTGCCAAATACTGCAAAATTCATCATCACCTTTAGAAGGTACCTGACAAAGGTACAACATAAAACATTTAAGGAAACAAAACATAATCTACATGTAAGCATAACACAGGGGAATAAGAAAAAATTTAAAAACAACCATCATTTGTTTACTCAGTTTTCTAGAATCTGTTCTTCATCAACAAATAGGCCATTAATTTGTAAACTGGCTACCTAGGTAACTTTCATTAGCTGTTATCTTTAAGAGTTTTTTTCCTTTGAAATAATGTGTAGTGGTTGCTGAAATTATTCTCCTAGAATAAGCTCCATTTATGAAAGCCAAGCTGAATATAAAAAAGTGATCTTTTGATACAGATAAAAGTACTAGAATTGGAGTCTGAAGACCTGGTTTCAAATCCTGTTTCAGACATAACTAGCTGTATGACATGGGGCAAATCACTTAATCCCTCTCAACATCAGTTTCTTCATCTGTAAAATGGGAATAACAGCACCTACCTTGCAAGGCTGTTGAAAGGACTAAATAAAAATAACTATAAAGTGTTTTGTAAGCCGCAACACTATATGAACACTAGCTCCTATTATTATATACAATTGGTCTTTCTAAGATTTTACACTAAGTATTAAAAATCCAATTGAAGATCTTAAAAGTTATTTTAAACCTACCGATATTAACTCATTCCTTCCAAATTTTAGCTTGGATTTGTTCTATAATACTTATAATTTTTACAACCTGATAGATTTAAAGGCTAGCTACCATATGGAAGATTCCAAATAATGATTTGGACTTTCACCTGCTAATCTATGAGTCATTATTAAGAAATGGATATATTTTAGTTACACTTCACATTTTTTTATCTACATTCCATATTTGTTGGCGTTCTATACTAGATAACAGATTTCTTTAAATTAATTTTCCTTTTAGAGATGGTTTATAATCTTGAAGTCATTATCCACACAAATTACAAATTATTAACTAAGTTTTTCTGACTGCTACATAAAATGAATCCCTTCTGTGGTGAACCGGAATAAATCTGATTTTGAAATGTTATCTGTAATCCTAAATTTGAAAAAAAAACAAAACCTATCCACTTGATTTTCTCAGTTCATATTTTATATATCTTTAGTTCCCTCGGTAAAGTATATTTAATTAAAATGACAGAATTAACTTTCCAAAAAAATCACTAGTCATCCCTTTACTTTAAAGCAAATACTGCAAATAAAAGATTGATTTACAACTTAAAAACAGTATTTGAATTTCCTTTTGAGCTGCCCCATTTGCATTAAGGGCACCTTCCTTTCACTCAGTTCATAAGCTCAGTGCTATTTTTGCCTGTTCACTCTCCCTCAGTACAGATATTCAATCTTGTCATCTCTATCTCCACAATACATCTCACACATCCATCCCCTTCTCTATTCATACAGTCACTACCCTACATCAAGAAAAATGCTATCCACCTCTAGAGAAAGTACTGATGGAGTCTGAATGCAGAGCACAGCATACTATTTTTCACTTAATTTTTTCATTTTTTTGGTCTCTGTTTTCTTTCACAACATGACTAATATGGAAATGTTTTGCATAACTGCACACATATAATTTGATTTAACGTATATCAAATTGCTCACCATCTCAGGAAGCGGAGGGAGGGAGACAATTTGGAACCCAAAATTTGAAAATACAAATGTTAAAAACAGTTTTTATATGCAATTGGGAAAAAACATTATTTTAAAAAAAGAGCTTATTACTGACACCTATTTATTCTCCTTGCCTCAAATTTCTTGCCTCTCCAGTCCATCCTCTACATAGTTGCAGAAGTGGTATTTCTAAAGCCCATATCAATAATGCTGCTCCCCTCTTTTCAATAAACTCTGGCAGCTCCCCTTTTCTTCTAGAGTCAAATACAAATCCCTCTGTTTAGCATTTAAAAAGCCCTTTACGATTGGGCTCCAATCTCCAATCTATCGTTCCAGTCTTATTATGTATCTCCTTTACCATGTACCCTGTGGTCCTGCCAAACTGGCTTTCTTACTGTTCCATACACATTCAAGTCTTAGTACAGGTTCTCCCCCAAGACTAGGATGTACTTCCCCTCCAACTCTTAGAACCCTTAACTAGAAAGCTCAGCTCAAACAATGTTTCCTACAGGAGTCCTTTATGGATTCCTTCTGCTTCTAGAGCTTAACTCCAAAAAAGGTACCCTATATCCTTTTACACCTCTCTAATAGGTTCATGCTTCCACTCATCATTGCGGATTTCCCAAAGCTTTGCCCTTCAAACCTCCCCCTCTTACCACCCTCTTTAGTGCCAAACCTTTTCTCTGCCCTCATACTTCTTGACCTATCTGCAGCTTATGACATTGTCAACCACCTTCTTCTCACGGATATTCTCTTTTCTCTAGTTTTTCATGACACAACTCCCTCCTGGTTCTCCCCTTCATTGACCACTCCTTCTTAGTAACCCTTCTTGGATCTTCATTCACTGACTGTGGGCATCCCTTAAAGCTCGTTTGTGGCCCCTCTTCTCTTTTCCCTCTTACTATTTCACTTAGTGACCTCATCGGCTTCCATGGTTTCAATGATCATCTCCATGAAGATGATTCTTAGATCTATTTATCCAACTCTAACCACTCTCCTGACTTCCAGTCTTCTATCTTCAACTGCCTGATGGACATCTCAAACTGGATATCTTATAAACATCTTAAAATTCATTATGTCCTAAACTGAACTTATCATCTTTTCCTCCAGCCCTTCCCCCTACTTCCAAAATTCCCAGTTACTATCCAGGGCACCACCACCCTCCCAGTTCTCCATGTTCACGAAGTAGGCATCAATTTTGACTCCTCATTCTCTCTTTTGCTGCCAAGCCCCATAGATTTTACCTTTGCAACACCTTTTGTATATATTCCCTTCTCTCCTCAGACACTGCCATTACCCTACTGCAAGCCTTTATCACCTTATGCAATAGACTTCTGGTTGGTCTCCCTTTCTCTCCTAACTTCAGAACATCTTCCATTCAGCTTCCAAGTGATCTTTCTAAAGCACAGGTCTGACCATGTCACCCCTTGCCCCCCAACCATCCACTCAAACTCCAGTCACTTTCTGTCACTGCCGGATCAAATACAAACTCTTGTTTATCTTTTAAACTCTTTCATAACTTGACTCCTTGCTGCCTTTCCAATTTTCTTAAACTTTATTCCCTTCTAAGTTTGATCCAGTGAAATTGGCTTCTTTGCTATTACTCTCACAAGACATTCTATCTCCCAACTGTGCATTTTCACTGGCAGTCCCTCACACCTTAAAAGCCACCTTGGCTTCCTCAAATCTCACCTAAAGCTCCATTTTCTATAAGAGGCCTTTCCTGGTCCCATTTAATGCTAGTGCCTTTCCTCTGAGATTACCTCAAATATATTCTGCATATATCTTATTTTACATAGTTGTTTGCATGTTGTCTCCCCCATTAAATTGTGAGGTCTTTGAGGACAAAGTCTATTTTTGCATTTCTTTGTATCCCTATCACTTAGCCCAGTGCCTGACATATTGTAAGTGCTAAATAAATATTTGTTGACTTGTATTTATTACCCCCATGTATATACTTACACATGTACACACCATATCCTCTGACAGAATGTAAGCTTCTTGAGGGCAATTATGCAATTTTTTTATTTGTATCCCAGTTGCCTAAGACAGTGCATGGCACATACTAGGCATTTCATATATGCTTAATTTAACATTCTCTATAAATGGGTTTTTCATAGCTCATCAAAATAATGACTGATAATAACACCGTATTTCTGTAGTACTTGACAGTGTTCAAAGCATTTCTCAAGGGCTCTACATAACTATCCTATAAAGTGGGGGGGCTGAACCCATCAGGATGGCTTGTGACATTCCTAAACGGGGTTACCTTTCATCCTACATTCTTAGACTGTCTGCTCCTACTCCTTTTGATGAAATGGAGGGCCACCAGGCCCCCCCCATCTGTCCTTCCACTGCCTCCCCAAGACACCCCAGGACTTGCCCTCTGCTGCTTTGCCCTGCAGTCCTGGAGCACTGCTGTCTTAACTCCCTATGTAACCAAAAGACCTCTGGGACTTCCATCCTTCCTCCTGCATTATTAATATTTTTGCTCCTTTCCACCTTCCCTGCGGCTGAATTTTCTTTTATATCATCTCCTCTAATTAGAGAGCGAGCTCTTTGAAAGCAGGACTGTCTTGACTTTTCTATTTGAATCTCCAGTGGTTGGCACATAGTAAGAACTTAATAAATGCTTTTAAAATCATTCATTCATTTATTATTCCCATTTTAAAAATGAGGCAACTCAAGCTCAGTTATGATAAGTGATTTGCCAAAGGTCACATGGCTATTAAGTAGAGGGGTCAGGACTAGCCCAGGACTAGCTCTCTGTATTCTCAATCCAGTGATGCTTCTGTAACATCAAAAGGCAAGATACTAGGGACGGCTAGGAGGTGCAGTGAATAGAGCTCCAGCTTTGGAGTCAGGAGGACCTGAGTTCAAATCTGATCTCAGACACAAAACACTTACTAGCTGTGTGATCCTGGGCAAGTCACTTAACTCCAACTGCCTCACCGAAAAATAAAAAAAATATATAAAAAAACCCAAAAAAAATTAGGCAAGATATTGTCTATCAGAATTAAAAATGATACTACTGACTTAATGCTAATAAAGAATTAATTTTAAGAGGTTTCTCCAGCAATGGTAAAGAATTTGTGCTGGTACAAACACACTTTTTTATTTAGTGCTTTTCCTTTCTGACCAATTGGATTCATTTGAAAATTTACCTGTTATTAATGATATAGTCTGTTGCTACAGAAGAGAGAAAAAAGCTAATGGTCCCACTTGGGAAAACCCAATTAAACAGATGGAACTACAAAATTCAAAACATCTCCCATGAATTTCAGAATGGGAGTGGGAAAATTGCTAACACTGAATGACATGCAGTACCATTCCCTTTTGGTAGCTGAGAGACAAATTTTAGTCATCTGCAGAAGTTTGTATAAAGTTCTAATGCTCCCTAGATGTGCAAACCACATGTATAAAAAAATGAGAATTCATAATGACATTTTTGAATGTGTCACTGTGTGCAGCTTTATGTACTCTGAAGAAATAAATGGCTGCATAATTTTTCTAAGTAATATTGTTATAATATAAAAAATAAAACACAAAGAGACAAAATTTATGGAGGTCTTTAAACTTGTTTCTAGATTAAATGATTTAGTCCTTTAACATTGGAATTCTTTAAAAAAAGTGAGAACACCGTCAAATATTACTGTATTATTCACTAATCTTCCATTAGCTTAAAAGCAAAAACATCAAGTCACATTTTCACCTTGAGAAGAACTGAATCAAGTCTTTCTAAAAATAAATGCAGTTTGGGTCTATGTTCTTTCATCTTTTAACATAACTGCAGAAAAAAAAAGTAGATCCGGTATTACAGCTAGACAATTTTGGACAGATTTGATAAAATAAAACAATACGCTAACAGAGCACAACGGAAGACAGGTATGTCTACGTCTTACTTGAGGAGGAGTCAAAAGTGATCGAGAACTGCTGGAGCCTAAGTGGGCTTTCTGAGAAGTTGCAACAAATGAACTTGAAGTGCATGGGTTCACAGCGGGTTGTGGTTTCACTATGGCTGTCAATTTCTGATTTCCAGTCTCTGAGCGATTACCATGAGAAAGGTTAATTAAGGCACTTGTTGGCAGTCGATAACCTCTTGCAGGTGAGCACCTAAAATTAGAGAACAAGCTTAAAAAGGCACCAGAAAGAAACAACATATAAGACTTTAGCTAAATAAAAAAAAAATTTGGGAAATCTAGTGTGGTTCTGGCTAGCCCCACATATCTCCATCCTTTCCACAAGAATGTGAGAGATTTTTGTCAAATACTCTGCTAAAACCTAGGGAAACTATATCTACAGCATTCCCTGGATCTACAAGGCTAGTAATCCTGTAGAAACTGGAAGTCTGGCATGCATGACTTGCTCCTTCATGAAATCACATTGGCTTTCTCTGATCACCGTTTCTTTTTCAAAGATTTTCATTAACTATCCCTTTATATATATATTAACATACTAATATGTTCAAGAATTTTGCCAGGAATCTTAGTCAAGTTCACTGCCATATATCATGTAGCTTTTGCTGTCTCCTACAAAAACCAAGAAAGTTGGCAGTCTGGCAGTGGTTTTTCAGTTTTCTTTCAGTTTTGTGGGATGTACACTATCTAGGCCTGGTGACTTGAAGGCATCATTGAGGGCAACTATCACTCTCCTTTACTGTGACTTTCTTAATGTACGTTAAAACTGAACTGCTTTTTTGGGGGCTGCCATCCTGTGCATTGTTGACTCATATTAAGCTTTCAAACTGCTCATTATCCATTTTTGCCCAACCTTTCAAAAGTGAGTTTATGAATACAAGTTTAGGACACATTTTATTCTCTTAGCTTCTGGTCATCATGCAAGTCTAGTGACATAGTCTTATATCCTGATTCTACTGTTGGATGTGGCAGCCATTCCCCCCAGCTCTGCCAAGGTTTATACTGTACGCAAATATGCCAAGTTTGGATCTCTTCCTTCATGTCAGTCAAATTTTCTTTGAGACACCACTTTCTCTTTTTAAGGTGATGAGAGTAAAATACTACTTATCTTGCTCTTGTATTCAGAAGAGTTAGTTAAAATTCTGTTACAATTATAGGCTCAGAATTTATTATGATAGGTATCCCTCATTTTAAATCAGTTAGGCAGACCAAACTGACTAGATTTACAATTGGGGAAACCAACTTGTATTTTGTATCTACCTTCATGAAATTTCCAGATAGAATCATAATACTATACTAAAAGGAAAAGTGATTTTATAATTTGCCAGGTAGGCCCTACAAATATCCAAAAGAAAAAGGATGGTGACAATACCTGCTACTTGGGATGATGATGAATTCAATTCACTTAAACAATTAAATTTGATTCAGTAAACATTTATTAAATATCTGATATATGAAAAGCACCATGCTAGATGCTTGTGGAGCTTAAAAGGTAAAAATGAAAAAATCTCTACACTCAGGGGCGATTTATTCTAATGGCAAAGGGAGGATATATCTACACACACACACACACACACACACACACACACACACAGAGTCTGAAGGAGGGAACACAAACAACTAGAAAACCTGTGCTGAAGACTGAATAAAAATAAGATTCCAAGAAGGAGAGGTGTGAAAAGAATGCATTGCAGGCAAAACAGACATGATAAATAAAGGTAGTGAGATGAGAGACAGAATGCCAAATTCACACTATCTGAAATATAGAAAGTAAATAAGTTTGGAAAGAAAGATTGGCATTTTGATGGGTTAAAATCTTAAGGGGTAATGAGAAGCCACTGATGATTTTTGAGTTAAATGGTCACATTTGTGCCTTAAGAAGATTTGTTTTTGGGCAATTGTGATGAGGGCAAATTAGAGAAAGACGATTCTAGAAACAGGGAGATGAATTAGAAGTAATAGTCCAGGTATGAGGTAATGAGAACTTGAATGAAGGTAGTAGCTGAGTGAGAGTAGATCTGATGGATGCTAGATGAAGGGGAGATAGAATTGACAAGGCTTGAGTGATGGAAAATTAATATGGTCTGCTGGTCTCTCCAGCCTGTTAGCCAACTACCTGGTACAAGTAAATGGATGAAGGAATAGGCAAACAAAGGGTAAAGGAAATGGAAACAATTTCAGCAAGTATCTTTGCTTATTTCCTAAAACCAAAATTTAACATCCTTCTTGAAATCCACATATGTTCTGGGGAGTGATAAGTAGGATTAGATCTGCCATACAAGAAATTAGGCCTAACACCAGGGGAATCTTCTCATCTATGTACAAAATAGGGAGCCATGTTCAAGCTGGGCACCCTCTGAAGATTATGAGCAGGCCTTGCCTATTAGCAGTCCAGGGGATAACTTCCTAGGGAAAAGTTACTGAACATAAGGCTGGGTTAGAGATTAGGATGATGTTTGGGACGGCCCATTTAAATGGCAGTAGGGAAATCCTCCTAAATGAAAACCTAGGTAGGAAGCCCTAACCTGGTATTCTCTGAAACGATATATACAACTAATAAGATATTTTTAGGCAACTAGGTGGCTCAGTGGATAGAACACTGGGTCTGGAGTAAGGAAGACAAGTTCAAATCCAAATTCAGAAACTTACTAGCTATGTCACTTAACCTGTTTGCCTCAGTTTCCAACAGCAATTACCTCCCAGGCTTATTGTGAGGATCAAATGACATAATATTTGTAAAGGGCTTAGCACAGAGTATTTAACTGTTATATGTTGGCTACAAATATTTGGAAATGGCTGAGTCTGGGGGAGGTACAGTTTTAGGGAAGAAAGATAATGAGTTTTATTTTTTACACACTAAGTTTAAAATCCAATTGTACATTCAGGAGGAAATGTTCAGCAGGCAGTTGGCAATACTGAACTGGAACTCAGGGAAGATTAGGTTTGTATATTAAGATGTGGGGGTTATCTCTGTAACGCTAATTGAACCCATGGGAGCTGGTGGAGTCATCAAGAGATAAGGTATAGAGAAAAAAAGAAGAGAGGACCCAGGAGAAAATTGTTTTAAGGATGAGGGAGACATAGGTGTAGTAAAGAAGTCATAGAAGAGAGAGATTAATCCATGGGAATAAGGAAATTCCTAAAAGAGCATGAACAATATAAGGTGACAAAAATTAGCTTCAGTAAGGAGAAGAGCCACCTCTTCCTCAGAGACCAGAGTAAAGGAGAAAAAAAATGAGTGATAATATAGAGGAGTTCTGAGGTAGGGGAGGAAGAACTCACAGTCTCTGACCTTGATTTACTCAGTAAAGATGAAGAAGTCCTCCCCGGAAGGAATGAAGGAGTAATATGAGGAGCTTCTGTGAAGAGGTTTGCAACAGCTTCTATGTGGGCCCTAACAGTTAGGGGAGGATCACCATGCACCAGTAAGTATCCAGCTAAGATCTGGTAAACATTGACTTCTTTCAGTATTCAGCACCATATGAGTCGAATAAGACAAGGCACATGGTAGAACTAAGTTTCAGCGAGGCATGAGTACAAACTGGACAGACAGCAAAGGAATCTGGGTAGTGGGTTGTGAATAGCTGACCTGTTCAACTATAGCTTTACCTGTGAAGGGATGGGAAGTGAAGTTGGAATAAGGTGATGAACTGGCAGTACATGTAAATGTGAAAGGATGAGAGATCATTATTAGGATGAAGAATACATTACAAAGGGGCAGATTCAGGATTGATGAAAAGTTTCCCAAACAATTAAGAGTTATCCAAAGGTGGAATTGGATAGCTTTGGGAAATAACAACTTCGCCCTCACTGGAGAACTTCCAACAAATACTGGATGACCATTTATCAGGCATGGTGTAAAAGGGTTTTTTTGTTCACTACTATGTTGGATTAGATGACCCTGGGATTTCTCATCAACTCTGAGATTCTGTGACTCCGAGTTGTCAAGTCTACTGCTCCTACTCACATAATAGCAGCATCATCTCATACACCAAAAGGTATAGTATTTCTGAATGGCCATTCATGCCTACAGACAGAACGATTCTTTCTTTATATTACAGTGGCTCTAAAGTCTGACTAGGGTGTTTTCTCAATTTGCGGGGGAGATGTTTTCACAGTTGTGCCTATGAAAGAGACAGTGCAAGAAAGGCTCACACTTCCTTATTTTCTGGAGGAATTCTGCTCTTGGCGGCCAGGTCCTTTCTTCCATGTTCTGAGTTTGTTTCCTTCTTCCTAGGCCAATGTCCCCAACAAAAAAGCATCCTATCTCTTCTGTTGAGGGGAGAATGGGGATGGCTGGCCTATGTCTGAGCATATATGTCCGAGCTTGCCTCTGGCTAGGGTGGAAATGGGAGGGGAAGGAAAAGGAAGCTTCGAAGGACACAAGCTTAATTAGTCTAATCTGAAGTCAAATTAATTCTCTTTTAATCAATTTAGACTGGATATCCAGTTTCTATCCATTTCCTGTAACTAGATACAGAGTAATGAATGGAGTGCCATTACCCTCAGTATTCTGACTGACTATTATTGCCCCTTTAATACTGTGTTTTAGATCTTATGCCTGCTGGGAAGCATCCTCATGACTTTGGGCTGTAGAACATGTATAGAGTTGAAAACTATGGTAATGAATTCTCAAGAAATCAGTCTTAGATGAGCTTCCATCTTGGAGCTGATAGAACTTTTTGCTAGAATGATTTACTCTAGCAAAATGATAAGGCAAGGGGCCAGACTGAGCTCTAACCCTTGGAACCTAGCTGTTTCTGTTGATGATTATTTTTTTTAGACTAGGATGGTAGCCTTCAAAAGAAAACGTGTTTTTAGTTGATGAGAATGGGCCAAAACTGCTTTTACCACATACCTATTAATTAACCAACAAGCATTTTATTAAGTACCTACAGTATACACCAGGGAGTATCAGGTACTAGGGATACAAATGAATACAAAGCATGAAACTCATTTTGTCTTATCACGAGACAAAATAAACATCTCTAAGTGTACACAGAAAAAATATAACAAGATTAATTAAAAAATAAATACAAAGTAATTAATGTGGGGTAGCTAGAGAGAAAAAGGCATTAGCAAGATCAGAAAGAGCCTCATATGTTCATACTCTCTTGATTCTGAGAATATGCCTATGTGTCTAACCACAAAGGAAAGCTTCTAGAGTGGAATCACCCCAGATCAGAAATAAATTTTTAAAAGTTGTATATAAAGGCTTCCAAGTGACATTCAGGAATAGCTAAAAACTGTATGGTCCAGGAAACTGGGGGATGGCCAATGATGGGTATGAAGCAAGAAACTGCTGGCTATATTGCAGAGAAAAAATCATTAGGAAGCAAAACTCCCAACAAGGATAGCACTGATGTAAAGCAGTATAATAATGGCAGTCATTCCCTGTAGTAAACACCTGTGACTGGAATTGAGGATCGTGATTTTTAAGTGAGGAAATAAGCAAGCACTACTAATGGGATTATGGGGAAGAAAATTCAAATGTTAACACCAAGTTTCTCATTAATCAATAGAAACCAAATTAAAGAAATACTTTTCAGTTTTTCTTATAGCATTACAAAGCTCATTTAAAATAAAAAGCAGAAATAAATTTAAATTTAGGTGACACTCATTTAATGGATGCATCATCATTAGGAAAGACAAACCTTATCCTTAAACCTCCATGAAATTCTTCATCAAATAATACTTCAAAAAGCACATCTGCTTCTCTACTAGCTGTAGAAAAGAGAATCATTAAAAAGGAAACGTCAGTTAATTTTACTTTTACTAATATTCTTTCACATATTCTCCTGAGATATATTGTCACAAAAAACTCTTAAATTTTATATTTCATTCATTAAATAGCTTAAGGTCCAAGGATTTAAAGAATTTTAACCAGAAAAATGGTTGTAGACTACGACCATGCTCTGAAGGGTATTAACTGTATGCTGCAATATCAGTTTTTCTTATTTGGGAGCTTTCAGAAGTCTAGTAAACAAATTTTTCTTCTAGAAAGCTAAAGATCGAGTTTTTAGTTAGCAATCAAGACAATGGGAATCACCTGCATACAGATTATATAAATTATCTGATTTATTGGTACAGATATTTTAAACCAACACTAAACTCAGTTTCCTTCTCGTCTACTTTGAAAGTCCATCTGCAAACACTCTCTTACTTTTACAGCGGGAAAAAGATTTCATTTTTCCATAAAAATTAAGAGACTCTAATGAAAAGTAGAGGAATATCTCACTTGTCTCTTAAAATAAAGTTTTCAGACTGATTAAGTAAAAGACTAAAGTGAGGACAATGTTCTCTGATCTCACGAAAACTTATTCATACCTGCCAGAGGTCTTGTATAATTTTAATGTGGTAAATAGAAACCTCCAATTTCTCAGCAGCCCTTTCTCAACTTCCCCTTCTTTTAACCACTCCCCAGATGACTAGGCAAGATAGAAAAGGAGGAGAATTTTTTTCAGAAAAGGATAAGCTGAAAATATTAATTAAACTTTTAAAAATAGGATTTTCCCCCTTATCTGATTGAAAGCCATTCAAACCTACTTTGGCATAAAAAAACCAAATAAACATGTTTGTTTCCAAGATAACTATAGTTTAAACACATAACTGGCATCAGAATAAAAATATTACCTCCTTTAATTCCTATTATGGTGCCACGGAGGCCCACAGGAACTGAAAAGTTCTCTCTCACATTTACAACACGGTCAAAAAGACGGAATTCTGCATCCCGATCAGGAATAATTCCCTGTTGTTGCTCTAAAGGCTAAGAAGAAAAAAATTAATTCTAGTATTTTTTTAAAGTCCCCCGCCCCCAAATAGAAAAGACTAGGACATTGGGGAAAAAAAGTTAAAGCAGTTGAATCTGCTATATTTTGCTATGAACATCACTTACTCTGTACAGTAAATGAGGTTTCACTGTCACTCGTACCTTCTTATTACTCTTCCTTTGCTAAAGAAGTAGAAAAAGATATGCTTAAAAATTCAATTAACAAACTATTCATTCACTTTCAAATATTGTTAACAAGAAAAGAAAAGCCTCTAAAATCAAGCAACTATTCCACAAAGTGAAATGATTAAATTTTCAGGTGTGAGAAGAACATGAGTTAAAGACTGAATTATGACATTCTAAAATAATTACTTTTTATAAAATCTAAAATGGCACCAATTCATTAAAGGATTTTTGTTGTCAATTAAATTCAACAACCACTTATTAAACTTCTGCTATGTGCAAGGCATTGTGCTAGACCCCAGGAATACTGAGACAAAAAGAAAAAAGTCCCTGCCACCAAGAAGCTTATATTCTACTTTGGGATACAACACATAAATAAGTAGTATTTATTAAAAATCTACAATGTACCAGGTGCTGTGCTAGGCTTAGAACAAAAGTAAAGAACGAAACAATAACGACTTGTGATAAGCTTACAAGCTAAAAAGGGAGATAAAAAAATACATACAACAACATAAAGTTCAACAAATACATAAGTAAGCATACACGAATACATACCCACAAAGTAGTTAAAAACAAAGGAGCTTGGGAGGGAAGACATTAGCAGTTAAGGAGATCAGGAAAGGCTTCTTGTAAAGAATAGTGCCTGGGAGGTACCTTAAAGGAAAAGACAATTCTACAACATGGAGTTAAGGAGAGAGGGGATTCTAGGCACGTAGGATGGTGAGTTGGAAGGCATGGAGTCAGGAGATGGAGCACGGTATGAGAAGCAGGGACAAGGGCAGTTTGCATTGAAGAATGCAAGAAAGAGGGGCAGCTAGGTGGTGCAGCAGATAGAACACCGGCCCTGACGTCAAGAGTACCTGAGTTCAAATCTGGCCTCAGACCAAACACTTGACACTTACTAGCTGTGTGACTCTGGGCAAGTCACTTAACCCCAATTGCAAAAAAAAAGAATGCAAGAAAGAAGTAATCAATGAGGATGGAAAGATAAGTAGACACAACGTAATTCAGGGAGCCAGAAAGCACTAATAACTAGTAGGATTGGGAAGGGCTTCCTAAGCACCTCAAAGGAAGCAAAAGATTCTGAAAGGCTGAGGTGAGAGGAGAGGCCAGCTGGTATATAAAGGCATGACAATGGAATGTCATGTTTGGGGAACTTGAGGGGGAAAAATGCCAACTACATATGGAAAGGTCAGCAAGAATGTGAAGGGCTTTAAATGTCAAATACCATGACTCTCCCATACACCTGTGGGCTTTTCTTATTTAAATGTTTCAATTTTTTCTTTGTATACTATCCTAAAAGGTACTAAAAATTCTTAAGCAGGGGAATGATATGGTTAAGCTTGTGTTTTCAGAAGATTATTACTGTGGCAGTCATATGGAGGATGGATTGGAGAAAGAAGAGATCAGAAGCAGGGAAACCAATTAGAAGTCTATAACAATAATCCAGGCAAGAGAAGCTAAAGACCTGGAAAAGGGCTAATAATGGTCTTGTGAAGTAGAAGAAGGGATAGAACGGCAAACATGTTGGAGAGGTCAAGGCAACATGTCTTGGTAACTGACTGGTTATGTGAGAGAGAGGCAGGGTTAAAAACGTTCTTGCAGTTGCAAAATTGGAGGACTAAAGGGAGAGTGATGTTCTCAACAGAAACAGGGACATTTTGGGGAAGGGTGGGTTTGGAGGGATAGGTAATGTATCCCATTTTGGGCACACTGAACTGAAGATGCTGAGAGTGCATTCAGGTGAGGATATCTAGAAGGCAGGCAGTGATATGGGGCTCAGAAGAGCAATTAAGGTTGGATATATAGTCAGTCAATTAGCATTTATTCAGTGTCTACTATACGCTAAGTGCTAGAAATACAACCAAAAGTAAAAAAAGAAACAGTCCCTGCTCTCAAGGACTTCAGAGTCGAATGGGGGAAACATGCAAACAACCATGTACAAACAAGATATACAGGGATAAACTGGGGGTGGTCTCAAGGACAAGGAAAGGCTTCTTGCAGAAAGTATGACTGCAAGTGAGGCTTGAAGGACACCAAGGGAGACAGAAAGTGGAGTTGAGGAGGGAGTTCTAGGCACGAGATAGCCAGAGCCAGCTCTTGGGAGGTGGGAGATGGGATGTTACGTGAGGAACAGTATGAAGGTCAATGTCACTGGACCGCTGAGTCTGTGAAAAAGAGCAAGGCATCAGAAGCCTGGAAAGGCTGGGAGGGGCCAGGTTATAAAGGGCTTCAAAAACCAAAGAAATTTTATATTGGATCCTGGAGGCAATAGGGAGCCACTGGAGTTTACTGGCACATCAGTTCAAAAGCTGAATGGAGGATGGGTTGGAGTGGAGAGATTCTGCGTCATCTACAGAAAGCTGGTAATTGTTTCCAGGGGAGCTGATGAGATCATCAAGGGTGAGGTTATAGAGAGATGTGAGAGAGACCAAGGCAGAGACATGAGGGACAACAGTTAGAGAGGTGGAAGAGGAGTGATGACCTACCAAAGGAGAGTGAGAATGAGCAGTCAGACAGGTAGGAGAAACAGGAAACAACAGTATGATAAACAGGGTCAAAGACTGCAAAGAGGATGACGAAATGTGAAAAAAGCTATTGGATTTAGCAATCAAGAGGTAACTGGCAACCTTGAAAAAACTGTTTCAGTTGAGTGTTGAGGTTAAAAGCCAGATTGCAAGGGACTGAGGAGGGGAAAGTAAGGATGTGGAGGCAATGATGGAGTTGAGAGAACAGGGAGTTTCCTCTAGGCAGCTGAGAATTTGGAATCACAGAGATGAGGAGAGAACTTTGCTAGCCATAGGACAGATGAGGCTCCTACCCTCAAGCATTCTCTGGTGACTGGAGGGCAGTGCCAGTGTACTTTCTCTCAATAATAACTGCAACAGAACATTAAAGTTTGCAAAGGGCTTTACATAGGTCATCCCGATTGTTCTTAAACACCAAGTGTGTGAGGTAATCAAGTCCCAGGGGCCTGACAACTCAAATTCAGCGACAGTCCCTTTGTCTCATCTTAAGATAGGAGATGATACACAATCAGGTAATACCTTTTACATGGAGTAACTTTGGAGTTAGTTCCTGAAATTCTTAAGTATAGAACATCTGGGTCTCATAACTGTTAGAGAAAATATTGGGGACATAACTTGAAATCCAATACAAGAGCTGATTTTAAAAGTAATTCTTCCTGAAAACAAATTCAGTAATTCCCCCTCCCAAATGTAATGACATTATCTAGAATACAGCTAAACACCTGAAAGGAAACAAAAGCTTCTCTGTACTCCACATATGTGTCACAATAGTCAATAAATATTTATTAAGTACTTACTCTGTGCCAGGCACTGAGCTAAGCACTGGGAATACAAATGAAAGGCAAAAGACAGTGTCTGCTCTTAAGGACCTTAAGTGTTTGTTAGCTGAGAACAGGCAGGTGTTCTGAAAATGACCGGAACTGATAGCTGACAGAGACACACAGACACTATACTAACACACAAGAAGTATAAAAAGCAGACAATTCCAGCATTTAGTACATGGGTAATTGGTGCTGCCCTATACACAAAGTCTTTGAGGACATCCCTACTTTAAAGCACAATACAATAAATTATAATCCTGATGATAAACCATGAAAAGGATTAACTATGTCCAGTCTATTATTTTACAATAGAAATGTAATTTTAGAAAGATTTAAACCAAATTTTCAAGTCTGCTTCTGAGAATCCTTGATTTCCTTTACAACTCGGCTCAAGAGCCCTTTTATACATGAGATCTTTCCCAAAAGATCCAGTCCTGGTCTCTCTCCTAAGATCCAGTTCTATTCTCACCAACTGCCTAGAAGACATTTTGAACCGGACCAAAATCATCCCAAATTAAAAATGTCCAATACAAAATTGGTTTCTCCCCCTTGCCCATATCATACTTTTCCCAAATTTCTCTATTTCTGTCAAATAGACCACCATCTGTCTAATTACCCAGGTTCTCACCCTCATCTCCTCATTTTTCAATCACCCCATATACCCAAACAGTTGCCAAATCTTGTTCCTTTCACATCTTCATGCCCCTTTGTTCACTCATCTAGCCACCACTATAGTTCAGGCCCTCATCATGCCTGGACTACTCCCATAGTCTAACAACTTTAGGACCAAATAAAAACTCCTGCTTTGCCTTTAAAGCTCTTCATGACCTGGCCCCGACCTACCTTTGAGATTTATTACACTTTCACTCTCTTACAAACTCTATGGTCTAGTTAAATGGGCATTATTACTGTTCCTCATACATGGCACCTCATCTATCTTGTATCTTTTCACAGGCTGTCCCACATATCTGGAACACACTCCCTTTATCACCTCTGCCTCTTAGAATCTATCATTTCCTTTAATAGTTAGCTAAAACATCACCTTCAATATGATGCCTTTTTTGCTCCCTCAGCTGCTAATGCCTTTCCCCCGAAAAGAATGGAAGCTCCTGAAAGGCAGGCATCGTTTCATTTTTGTCTTTTTATTCTCTGTATGTAGCACAGTACTTGGCACATAATAGGGACTAGATAAAAATTTATAGATTGATAAAAGCGGTGAACAAGTTATTTTAAGAATTTTCTATGTTGGATACTGTGCTAGAAAAGTGCTTAAAAGAGAGACACACATATTCTACTCTCACCGTCATTTGAAAAGATAAACATTTAGCAGCATTTGAGCCTGATGTCTTTGCTACCATCCAGTGGTGATTACTTAACTTGTATTCGCAATCCTCAGGGATTTTGCGTGTCTTCTCTTGGGTGAGTGATACAAGTCAGCATGTCTAAAACTGAACTTAAAAACTTCAACTGGTGCCTTTTCCAACTTTCCTATGTAATACCACTTTCTCATTTAATGTGAACCTTTACGTCCCGTAGAACATATGCTTCTTGGGGACAGGGACCCTTATTTAGTCCTTGTTTCCCCAGAGCCTGGCAGAGTACATGATACTCATTAAAGATCTAACAAATGCTATCTTTACCTTTCCCTCACCTCACACATCAGGTCAGGTACCAAATCCTAACTGTTTTTAGCTCTGAAAGGTCTCTTTTTCTCCTGGTCTCTTTAATCCCTTCCAACCATCCACCTAGTTTAAGGCCCTTGTCTCTTGTTCCTGTAGCTTCTGGTAGCCTATTTTAACAGTTTCCTGGCTGCTCCTCCACACTGCCATGCAGGCAATCTTCCTGATGGACCACTATTATCACATCACTCTTCTCCTCCAAGCACTCTAATGTCTCCATGCTGCTTAAGGGAGAAAGTATTAACTGATCCTGGCATTCAGCCTGCCTGCCGGGTCTTATGTATCACTGCTCTCTATATTATTGTATACTTCAGCTAAATTAGAGCATTTTCCAATTCCTGTTCTTAGGCTGCCTTCTCCCAACTTTGCCATTGTGCGTGCTGTTTTCCCATTATTAAAATGGAGTTTTTAGTCATGTCCCCACAACTCTGTACTGAAGTTGCCAGCAGTTATTAACACAGCATAGCATTATCAAAGAAAATGTTATAACTGGATGTTAGAAGAATATAATATTACGCTAGTTTCATTAAAATAAAACAACATGCATTTTGGGAGTTGAGTCTGAAAACAATGAGGAGTGTTTTTCTCCAAAAATTCTACAAAAAAGCAAAGATTTCTTGGATCTGCAAGTGTCACCATCTTGCAACTTGCTGCTACGTTATCATTCATGTGGCTGGAGACAGCAAAGACTTTAATTTCTTCTCAAACTTAGAGTCTGATCTTGCTGTTATCCATATATTAAGGTTTCTTTGGGAAAATGAGCAATCCGCTCATTATGACTCCCTTGAAACAAGTTGTTCTGGACAAGACGGTTATCAACTCAGATTATAATTTCTCATATATATATATATATATATATATATATATTATATATATATATATATATATATATATATATATATGTACACATACACACATATATACATATATATTATATATATATACATATATATGCATATATATTATATATATATATATACATATATATATACACACACACAGGTGTTTAGCAAATATTCTTTGATAATGAATGCATAAAGAAAATAACCAAACTTCCACAAGACCACAATGAAGTATATATTATACTCAGCAGACACTGAGATAAATGGATACAATGCAAAACAGGATTCTAGGTTACTGAAGGGTTGAAATCGAGCTTAGGTTACATATTATCAAATTCTTTGCCTTTTATATATACATATATATCTCCACTTTCTATTTATTCATACTAAGTGTATACTTATTTGTCTAAGAAATGCATTTTAAATAGAGGCAGTGGAAACTTTGTAGCATACCCACGTAAAAATAATAGTAAAATTATTTAAGAAGTAACAAATATAAAATAATGAGGTGACACCAGATGATAACGTGATTTTGGCTGTATCACTTTGGTTCCTTTTGGATATCAATCAACAAGCATTTAAGTGCACTATGTGTCAGGCAATTAACTAATAAGTACTAGTAATACAAAGAAAAATCAGAAACAATCCTTGCCCTCAAGGAGCTTATATTCTAACAGGGGAGACAGCAGATACACAAATTTATAATAACATTATGTGCACATAACAAAAGTTCAATGAATACTTGTTGAGTATTTGATTAAAGCCAAGAAATGTGCATTTCTAGTATAGTCACTCTTACACTTTTACCTATCCACTGCTTTATTACAAAAGAACTTATGTGGGCATTATTGACAAAAAATTTGCATGTTTCTAAACATTATCTACATCACGCTTTTCATTTGGGGTACTAAATTCTCATTTGAGACATAACTGGATTAATACGTATTTAGAAAATTTAATTAGTTCTTGTTTAATCAAGATTAAAATGAAAAACAAAAAAGACATAAATTAACAATCTTATAATCTAGGTTGGATAAGACTTTTATTGATTTTGGTCAAAGGCCATTGCAAGATTCACAGAATAGAATAAACTGTAATCTCTAAAATAAGACCAAAATTAGTATAATAATTGAGTTTCTAAGTGTAAGAATAGGCAACATTTTAGAAGTGATTCCAAAAAGATATATCAAGAATTTATGGACTTTTTGGGGGATGCAATGGGAATTCAAATCTGTGAATTAACTTGTGTAAGAAATTTCAAATGTGAAAAGAAGGCAGATACAGTCGTAAAAGAACTGCCTGGATGCAATAAAAGATTGAGTGTCATACCTGTGGTTATGTAGCTATTATGTGTTAGAGGCAGGATTTGAAAAAAAGTCTGTTTGACTCATGGGAGGGATCTCTACATCATGTTACCTCTCATACAATGTTTTAGTATGTCTAAAAAATTTATTCTAAAACCAATACCTTGTTTAACTTTGTTCTCTAATAACTATTCATACTGAATCAGATCACCTTTGGCTTTTCAAATAATTCAGAGCTGTCTAGCCCCATTGATCTTACGGTAATTATATTTTTAAAAATTAAAGACATAAAAGAAAACTGAATTATACATCTAGACCCTATGTTTGCTGTAAATGATGAATCAAAGGACTTAGAGAATCTTTATACCACACTGTGGAAAGGTTATGATGTTACCCAAATCCCAGGATTACTAGTAACAACATGTAAACATGTTTATTTAGCTGTAATACAAAATAAGTCACTTGCAAAATTTTGCGAATTGTCTTTTAGTTCTGTTGTATGTCATTTACTCAATCCCATTTATTGAAAATGTGTACCTTGCACTTCTCTACTTCTTCTTCAATTTTCTCAACAATAGCAGCATCCAGAATTTGTAAATCACAAGATGAGCGAGACAAAGCACTGACAGGATGCGCCTTTAGCCACGTAACAATTTCTTGAACTTTCTCAGCACTACATTAAAAAAAATTCATTATTTTTCTTCCAGAGATAAAAGTGTTCTCAGGGATTATATATCATTGCAAATTACAACAGTCTCCAGATTTATGATCTTAAAGTTAATCATTTAATTTTATTCTGGAGACAGAGATCCAATACAAACTTGGAAATGTCATGTCCTAAAACCAAAATCAACATAACAGAAATCATATCTTAAAAACATTCACTGAATACATGACATGAAAAAGATCCCATTAGCGTTATGACTAAAACATAATTTATTTTACTTGAAAAATGAAAGAGATTTTATAATTAGTCTTGTCAATAAATGAGACCACTGATTTGAACTACTGCATCATTAAAATGGCACAAAAATTACATACCCATTCTCATTTTCACCAGGCCAAATGTCATCTTCATAGAACACGTCTTCTTGGCTGTTCTTAGCTATGTAACTAAAGAGTTCTGGTACCCTACCAACAATAACAAAATGAATTTTAATTATAGTGCTCCTCTCCAACCATCTGTTCCCAAGTGCCACAGATGACTGCTTGCTATAGCTAGGGAACTTATAAAGAGATTTAAAAGACTTGAGAGCCAGAACATTGTCACCATGTGTTCAGAAAAACCTCTACAGGTAGGCTGGTCAAAGAGTAAGGCTGATAAAGCTCAAAGAACTTGCAATATTTAGCATTCTTCAATCATAATAATGATTCATACATGTGTACAAGTGTGAATAAATGGGAGAAAATAAGATTTTAGAGTTTCGTTATCTTTAAAACAAAGCTGAGAGATCATCTTACCATAACTCTTACAGTGATAATTATAACATTAACTTTCTCCAGGATCCACTCATATATGTTTAAATCCTAGTCTAATTTATACTTATTACTAACAGAAAATTTCCAATTTACCTTTCCAGAAACAAATTTATATGACTGCATATATAAGAATGAAAGAAAATAATATGAAATTTGGTATCCCAGTGAAACAAATATACACATATATATATTTAAAATTTTTGTAAAAAAATTTAAAATCCTATGGTACTTGAAAACTCGAAAAAATTATTTTGAAAGTTAGTTGCTGAAAATAAGTTCTGAAAATATTACTTATATGGGGAAAACACGTCTAACACATGAGATAAATTTTTAGTTTATTGCAAACTCAAAACTATAGTAGTAAGCATCTTCATTCTATTCCTTAACCCTCTCAAATGGTTAAAAAAAATCAATTATCAATATTTATTATGAGACTATTGTGTGCAGAGTTCTGGAATGATTATATCATTTAGTTTATCAGTAAAATTTAAATTGTCAGGGAATGAAAACTTTAAAATTTCATATGAAAATTAACATGCTGATTTTAGTAAACAGGTGTCCACTTTACAATTTCTCAGATATCTGAAAATATTAAAAGACTTGTCAACATATGTAAATGAACTGTGTTCATAAAACATGTAATAAAACTAACAGTTGATATTTATTTGAAAAACAATATATATTATCTCATTTAATCCTTATAAGCTCCTGAGTAAGTACTACAGACACTATTAGATTCAATTTATAGATAAGGAAATTGAGGCTCAGAAGGGCTAGGTGACATACCAAAAGTCTCACAGCTACTAAGTTCTAGATTTGAACCCAAGACTCCAAGTCCAACACTCTTTCTATAACATCACATAGGAGGTGATATACATAGTATTAGTATGGTAATTGGGAGATTTGGGTCTCTTCAACTAACTAAATATATAACTCTGCACAAGCCATAATAACTTCTTGGCTTCAGTTTTCTCATTTTTTGGACATTTCAAAGGTTATTTTCAGTATTAAAATTTTATAATCCCTTAAGGTCCTAGAAGACCAGAGAGCTATTATTTATAAAAATGAGGATAATTCAGATATAAGACTGAAAAAAATCATTGTAAATAATATGACAAGTTTTTTTTTTAAAGATTACAATTAAATTCTACATCCTAATTTTTTTCTATGAGATTTATATCTACTGAAGCAAAGTTCTGGCTTGGAAACTCTTACCATCAAGAACAGTACAGCTTTGAAGATGTCATGGAATCTATAGCATAGTAATTTAAAGTACTTTATTTCTCATTATTTTTTCTTCAACATTAACTATGGTCACCATTCTCTCTATTTTGACACATTGAATGATGTAGCCACCTGCGATGGTGGTTAAGGAAAATCAAGTTATGTTTTAAATGCTTGTATCTCTTTTAAAACCAAAGAACTGAAATCAGTTTGACAAAATGAATTAATGACACTAAATCCTACGGTTGTGGGGAAGAATATGAAGAAGGACCTCATGAAACACTACCTCTCAAGGTACTCTGCCAGGAGCTGCTCCACAGCACAAGAATACATCCATTCATTGCCGACTTTTTTGGTGTAGCCAGGAACCTCTTCATTCTTCTTATTGAACTTCAGGTTCAATCCCACATTGGCTTTGTGGTCTCCATGGGGACTGTTTAAAAACAAACAAAAATGGCATATTAATTTTGATGAGGTAACAAATTAAAATTGTTTCCCAATCTCAGAAAAGTTTGGCTTTAATTCTAGGTTACTTATTGTGGCAAATATCGGTTCAAAGTTGAAGGAAAACTCCAAAAGCTGAACCAAGTAAAGCACAGATAAAACAAGAGGCAGGGAATTGAATTATATTAAAAAAATTTAATTAAATTTTATTTTTTCATTCAACAAAAATCTTTTCGACCGCCATACCTCCCCAAAAAACCTGCTACAAACATGTACAATCAGACAAAATATCTCCAAATTGGCCATGTAAAAAAAAAAATCTCACTCCGCACTCCGAATTCATCACCTCTCTATTAAGAGGTGGGTAGGATGTTTCATTGTTTAGTTTCTCTAGAATGTTGGTAGGTCATTGTGCTGACCAGTTTCTAAAGTTTTTCAAACTGCAACGCTATTGTTATTGTATACTTTGTTCTATTGGTTCTGCTCACCTCACTCTGTACCAGTTCATATAAGTCTTCCCAGGTTTTTTTGAAAATATCCTGGTCATATTTTCTTATAGCAAAACAATATTCCATCATATTTATATACCATAACTTGTTCTTTTTCATAGGCAATCGATAAGTACCCACTGTTCCAATTCTTTGTCACCACAAAAAGAGCTGCTATAAATATTTTTGTATAGCCTTAATTAATGTTTTGCTTAGGACTAATCACTCTCCTTACCCTCCCTTTTCCTTTCTGTTTCCCTTGAGTGAAATGTATTTTTAAAAAAACTTTTTCTTTATTTTCTTTTTTCCTTTTTTTAATTAATTTAAATTGATTTGTCAACAATCACTTCCATATGCTTTTAAGTTTTAATTTTTTCTCCCCCTCCATTCCCACCTCCCTCCCCAAGATGGTGCACAATTTGATATAGGCTATACATAAAAATTCCTATTAAACATATTTTCACATTAGTGATTTTGTAAGGAAGAATTAGAACCAATAGGAGGAACCACCAGAAAGAGGAAACAAAACACAACAGAAGAAAAAAAATAGCAAATAGTATGCTTTGATCTGCATTCAAACTCCATAGTTCTTTCTTTGGATGTGGATAGCATTTTCTATCACGAGGCCTCTGGAGATGTCTTAGATCCTTGTATTGCTGACAAGGGTTAAGTCTATCAATATTATTCATCGCACAACGTGGCTGTTAACTGTGTACAACATTCTCTTGATTCTGCTCACTTCACTCAGCATCAGACCATATATGTCTTTCCAGGTTTTTCCGAAGTCTGCTTGCTCATCATTTCTTATAGCACAATAGTATTCCATTACATTCATATACCACAACTTGGTCAGCCATTCCCCAACTGATGGGCATCCTCTCAATTTCCAATTCTTTGCCACCACAAAAAGAGCTGCTATAAATATTTTTGTACATGTGGGTCCTTTTCCCATTTGTATGATCTCTTTGGGATACAGCCCTAGAAGTGCTATTGCTGGGTCAAAGGGTATGCACATTTTTATAGCCCTTTGGGCAAAGTTCCAAATTGCTCTCCAAAATGGGTGGACCATTTCACTACTCCACCAAAAATGCATTAGTGTTCTAATTTTCCCACATCTTCTCCAACATTTATTGTTTTCCTGTTTTGTCATGTTGGCCAATCTGATATGTATGATGTGGTACCTCAGAGTTGTTTTGATTTGCATTTCTCTAATCAATAGTGATTTGCAGCATTTTTCCATATGACTATAGATGGCTTTAATTTCTTCATCTGAGAACTGCCTGTTCACATTCTTTGACCATTTATCAATTGGGGAATGACTGGTAGTCTTATAAATTTGACTTAATTCTCTATATATTTTAGAAATGAGGCCCTTATCAGAGACACTGGTTGTAAAAATTCTTTCCCAATTTTCTACTTTCCTTCTAATCTTGGTTGCATTGGCTTTGTGCAAAAACTTCGATTTAATGTAACCAAAGTTATCCATTTTGCATTTCGTAATGTTCTCTATTTCCTGTTTGGTCATGAATTCTTCTGTTCTCCATAAATCTAATAGGTAAACTATTCCTTGTTCTCCCAGTCTGCTTATAGCATCAGCCTTTATATCTAAATCATGAACACATTTTGACTTTATTTTGGTATATGGTATGAAATTTTGATCTATGCCTGGTTTCTGCCATACTCTTTTCCAGTTTTCCCAGCAGTTTTTGTCAAATAGTGAGTTCTCATTCCAAAAGGTGGGGTCTTTGGGTTTAATCAAATAATAGATAACTACAGTCTTGACTACTGTGTCTTGTATACTTAACCTATTCCAATGATCCACCACTCTATTTCTTCGCCAGTATCAAGAAGTTTTGATGATTGCTGCATTAGAATACAATTTAAGATCTGGAATGGCTGGGCCACCTTCCCCTGCATCTCTTTTCATTAGTTCCCCTGATATTTTAGACCTTTTGTTATTCCAAATGAATCTTATTATTTTTTCTAGCTCTACAAAATAATTTTTTGGTATTTGGATTGGTATGGCACTGAATAAGCAAATTAGCTTAGGTAGAACTGTCATTTTTATTATATTAGCTCGGCCTACCCATGAACAACGATGTTTTTCCAATTATTTAGACCTGACTTTATTTGTGTGAAAAGTGTTTTGTAATTGTGTTCATATAGTTCCTGGGTCTGTTTTGGTAGGTAGACTCCTAAACATTTTACAATGTCTACAGTAATTTAAATGGAATTTCTCTATCTCTTGCTGTTGGGCTTTGTTGGTAATATATAGAAATGCCGATGATTTAGTGAAATGTATTTCTGCCCCCAAGTCTGTGTGCATGTGTGTGTGTGTGTGTGTGTGTGTGTGTGTGTGTGTGTGCGTGCGCATGCGTATTCTTCCTTCCTTTGGCTATTTTGGATAAGAATGAGATTCAAATGTCAGTCTTTCCTGTAATCCCCTCTCCTTGTTTGTGTAGGCTTCTTGTGCACCTGGATTATGGAAGATGATTTTCCTCATCCTTCCCCTCCTTCACCCCAATGAGAGTATCATATTTCAATGTCTCTATGTCTTTAAAGTGATAACAACTATATCCTACATGATCCTGAAATGGCTTCTTGGAACTTGAATTCTTCCTTTTTGGCTGCTTACACTATTTGTTTCTTTGACCTGGAAGCTTTGGACTTTGGTTATGATGCTCATTTTGGATTTTTTTTTCAAGAAGTGACCAGTGGATTCTTTCTGATCATCTTTGCCCCCTAGTTCTAAGAGATCTCCGTAGTTTTTTTTTTTAAAGGCTTCTTGAAATATAATGTTAAAATATAATGAAATATAATGCTCTTCTTTTTGCTCATAGCTTTCAGGTAATTGAAATAATTATTTTTTTTCTCCTTGATCTGTTTACCAGTTCAGTTGTTTTTGCTGTGAGATACTTTGTTTTCTTTTTTTTCTTTCAGTTTTTTTTTAAACTTTGTTTTAGTTATTTCTTGTTTTCTCATGGAATCATTAGTTTCCATTTAGTCCATTCTAATTTTCAGGGGGTTTGTGACTTAGGCAAAGTTTTTTACCTCTTATGTCAAACCGTTAATTCTCTTTCCAGTTTTTTCTTCCACAGCTCTCATTTCTTTTCCAGTTCTTCCTCCAGTGCTCTTATTTAATTTATAATATTTTAAATGCTTTTAAAAACTCTTGATTTAGGGGGCAGCTAGGTGGCGCAGTGGATAGCGCACTGGCCCTGAAGTCAGGAGTACCTGAGTTCAAATCCAGCCTCAGACCAAACATTTGACACTTACTAGCTGTGTGACCCTGGGCAAGTCACTTAACTGCAATTGCCTAAAAAGAAAAAAAAAACGGGGAAAAAAACCTCTTGATTTACTTTCCCTAGGAATTCTAGATAAACTTGTGCCCAACTTGTGTTTTTCTTTGAGACTTTGCTTACAGATGTTTTAGAGTTATTGTCTTCTTCTGGGTTTGTGTTGAGTATCTCTGCCACCATGATAGTTTTCTTGTGATGAGATTCTTTTTTTTGTTTGTTCATTCTTCCAGTCTACATCTTGATTTCAGACTTTATATTAGGATCAGGATCTGTGAACTTAGGGAGGGAATGTCTGTTGAGCTTGTGTCCTCTAGGGTCTTGCTGTTGTTTTCTTGGGAAACTTGAGTGTTATATTATTCCAGGATCTCAAGATGAGGTCAGGCTAGGTCTCTAAAATCTTTCAGTGTTCCCAAAGTAGTCTGATCCATGGAAAACCTGTCCTCCTTGTCCAGGCTCTGCAATCTCGTGATTTACATTTGGTTCTGAGTAACCTACATACCTATGCGAAGGTTCCAGTAGAGTGTTCATGGACTTAATCTCTATCATTTCAGAGTGACAAAACTGTAGCCTCCCCTTTGGTCTAGGTTTCCTATCCTGCTTATTCTACTGCAGAGTTCAGACTAGGCTAGAGGCTAGAAATAAAGATTCCTGTTCTATTCCTGGGAAGTCATATAGCTCCTGCACGCTCCTTGCTTAATACATAGCTAAGGGACATGACCATACGTCATTACGTAACACCACTCCCAGATGCTGGTCCTATCCTCAGACTGCCCTAGATCTGTTTCGAGTATTGAGTGACATAAGATGCCAGTTGGCACCAGTTCCTGTACCCTGTGCAAGATAAGGCTCATCTTACCCTTGTGCTGGATCCAGGACCTCTTCTTGCTTATGCACAGCCTCTCCCTGGCTAGAATGCTATATCCTTGTTCTTGGCTAGGCCCTCATCTCATTCCATTTCCCACCCCTAAGTTCTGTCCCAGTGTCCACAGACCTCTCTACTTCCCACTGCCAACCTGAGAAGGAAAAATGATTCACTGTGATTTTTTTTCCCCTTGGATTTTCTAATCAGGACTAAGTCTGCTGCATTTTTTATATCTGTGTGTGTGTGTGTGTAGCTTGACTGTACTCAACTGGAACTCTTGCTGCTACTCCTTCATTTGGGCTCCACCTTTCAAATGTCATTTTTAGGACTTACAAACACTCTGATACCTTTTTTCAAGGTTCAATTAGTTATCTATTCTAGTTAAGAATTATCTCTTTTGGACAAGGCATTTCATAGAAGTTGAATTGGATGAAAAATCAGTTATCAGAGCTGAGTTAAGAAAAATTACAATTATATTTTAAATCAGTATTGAAACATTAAATATTTCATTTTGCTTCCATCTTATAATATTAATTATTTTTCTAAAAACTTACTTTTTCCTAGATCCTCTTCCAATAAAAATACTTCCTGTAAACCTTGAAACAAGGTATCCACTCACTCCAAGACGACTGGCCAAAACATATCCAGGATTGTATTTTATAGAATATTTCTTTAAATACAAAAATAAAAAAAATCATTATGGTGCAGGGCAGAAACATATAAGTGCTTTAGATTTTTTCCTTTGCCTTTAATCTCTAAACTTATTTCAAAGGGGAGTAAATCTATCACTACACCCTTCGGCTATATAAATGTAGGTATTGTTAAATGCAGCTGACCTATTTAGAAAAAAACTTGCATGGAGATTTTTTGTTTTTACCTCTTATTAAATACTGTGTTTACAAGAATTAAAAGAAAACATGAAAATATCTCTCTCTCTCTCTGTATGTGTATGTATATATATAGATATAGACAGAGATACAGATATAGATATAGATATGTATATATAAGAAAATAGAATTAAATTTTATTTATGCAAGGGAAGATACAATGCAGATAGTTTGGCCAAAAATAAAATACTACCAGTCTATACATTTTTTCACTAGGCAAAAAACTGTATTAATCAGCTCTGTTACAAATAGAACCTAGCCCCTGACATCAATGATAACAACAATAATAATTTTATATCATGATGTAGTTTGCAAAGAGCTTTTATCATAACAACTCTGTGAGGAAGGAAGTGCAAGTATTATTGTCCCCATTTTATAGATAATGAAACTGGCGTTCAGAAAAGGCATCTCTACTGATGAAAACAACACACTCAGAAACTTCATTATCAGAGGTAGCAATAAAATAGGAACATAAGAGATTTGTTCCAAGAGATATGGAGATTACCTTATGATAACCACTCACTAAAATAATGACAAATGTCCTATAAAATAAAAGATACACTTGTGAGTCTCAGGGCAAAGGAAGGGAGAAGTGGCTTAGAGGAAATAGAAGAGAGGATGAGGTTGTGTTCAGACAGAGAAAGGAATGGTAGCAATGATGTATAATAGCCATACTATCTGATGCAACCACCTGGATTGCTGATAGAGAAAACAAGATCATGGCCACCATAATCAGGTAAAGGGGAGCCAGATTATGACCTCATGTAATGATGTCCAACCCAGACAAGCTGTCAAAGCATTAAATCTGAGGGAGGGTGAGGGAATAGGTGATACTAGGGAAAGGGGGTATAACTGTTTGTTATCATGTAGCTATCTGTTTATCAATGAACCCTTTCCTATAAAAGTCCAGAAGGAAGAAAGGAAGGAGAGATTAGAAGAACATTTAATCCTACTGGAAGAAGGATCCACAAAAGGGGTGTTAATGAAGAAGAAACTTCATAGCATAAAATCTGCTCCACAGTTAGCCTTGTTTATCTTCAATTGGCAGCAGCTCTACTAAAAAAAAAATTTTTTTTTATCCTATAAGGTTTAAAATGGAGGGAACTATGCTTTGCAAGATTTATTAAGTTTGATCTTTGAATCTGGTCAATTTTTCCTGGAGAATTTGTTAGTTATGACAACTCTGCACAAGTCTGAACTAATAATCTTCACTGAAGGTTTGCATGGGCTTCTGAAACATGAGTACTAAACAAGTACTGTATTTTCTTTTAAAAACTGAATTAGTTTTAGGAATCAAAGATCTCAATCATTAGGAACCAAAGTCATGGGATGGAAATATTTTTATATTTCTAATATAAAAGATATATGTTATTACACAGAACAGTTCATTTGTTAGAGAAAGCTACATAAGAACAATTTAACTACCTTTAACATCTCTGAAGGTCATTTGCTACTTTAACATCTCATAAACTAATTGAAAGAGTGTTTGTTCAGACAAGGTGAATGACTATACTCACATGCTGGTTCTGTATTAAGGCATCAAGATGAGGTTCACATGGAATGTTGAAAACCACACGAATTCTACCTTCTGCGATTACATCCCCTGAATCCTGAACCTTTGGGGGAAAAAAATAAAAGTTTGTTAAAGATCTTTCACATTTTACTTTTCACCTAAATTAAAATATAAGCCATATAATTTTTAAAATGTGAAAAGAGAATGGAAATAGTAATAAATAACTAGAACTAACTTCGCCTGTGCAGCCATAGTAAGGAGTCCCCAGCATAAAGACTGTACTTCTAGGTGGAAATAGGTCATCCAATGTTTTGATGTTAGAGAAATGTGTCTCAAAAGAACTAATATCCTAAAAACAAAAATATAAAAATCAATATGAGTAAAATTTTCTAAAGAATTTTAGATTTTTGTTGTGGGTTTTATCCATGATTATTTTTCTATGAATAATACAATCAGATACTGTAAAAGAAAAGAGGCATCATGTGTCTTTTAAAGTCCATTACTGAATATTCAGAGAGTAACTATACCTTAAGGTTACTGCTAAAAAAGGTAATTTTATGTTTACTAATTTATTTACGCTTATTATTTTGGGGGAGGAAAATACATTAACAGTATGCAAACCTTAAAAAAAAAAGTAAATGCATGGCTGCAAATAGTGTTTTACATTTTAGAGAAATCTGGCTACCACTGGCTAAATTCTGTCTTACCATCCTATCTAGAATGTCAGCAATTCAGGAAATGTCACATTCATAATTATAAATCATGAAGTTATTTTTCCATTTCAATACCTTATAAAAAAGGTAACAAGATTTATCGTTTTCTTTATGTAGTGTGCAATACTAGGCATCAAGAAGAGACTGAAGTCTAAAAGGAGCCTTACCTTGACAACAGTTTGATATACAAAAGGAAGAACTTGTTTTGACCACTGTTTCTCCAGATGAACCTCACCATTTTGATTTAATTGATACTTATGACCGGTAAGTAACTGAGCATACACAACAACAGAAGTTTCATTTATTATTATTCCTTTTCTTCTCTGGTAGCTAAAAGGGGGAATACAAGGGAGAAACTTATATATGTAAATAAGTTGGGAGTAGAACCCAGTCCCTGTCCAAAACTGTTTTAACTGGATTAATAATTAAATCCCCAGAAAACCTGTATAGAAATTCGTGAATAACTATGGATATGTTTCATGTTTTAGGTATTTATGTTTTTCTGCTGTTACCTGATCCTACTCCAAAGGATGCATGGCATATTGTGAATAAATAAGAATTACACGGAATTCTTACAGGTAAAAGAAAAAACTAAAATAAATTTATATATATATTTATATTCTTATAATTATTGTTAAGATACCTGTATGTAGAAAAAGGCAGCAGCAGAATAAAACTAGTAATAGTTAAAAAAAATTACAGCTACTATGCTTTTAAAACTGTGTAACATTTAATTTGAACATGTTTTACATTTTAAAAAATACATTACAAATTACAGATCTAAATTTACCCAATACTTAATTTATACATTGACTCAATTTATAAAAAACAATTTCCAGAAGCATCATACTTGATGATATGTTTTGATATTGTCTAACGCAATATTAAAATTGTACCTGAAAGAAGGAAAAAAAAAATCAAGACCAATAATTCTAATGCAGATACAAGGATTTGCTAAAATACCAGGCATTTGAAAATATAATCTCTTCCCCTGTGTCTTGATGACCCATTCTATTCGATGTAAAGCAACAAACACTTTGTATGTATCTATGGGTCTACTATGGTCAAGACACTGTAAAGGAAAAAGTGAAACACCCCTATCCTCAAAGACCTTCCTGGGAACATGTAACATGTATATGGATAAGCAAATGTAAGGTAATTTGAAAAGGGAAAGAATATTAACAATTGGGGGAAAAGGAAAGATTCAACATAAGAGGTAACCTCTGAGCAGAAAGCTTTGAAGAATTCTAAGAAGCATGGGTGAGAGGAGAGAGAGTATACTTCGGGGAAGAGGGCACAAGGCTATGCGAAGGCATGGAGATAAGAGATTGAATGCAAAATTCAGGGAACAGCAAGTACTGAATTTTGGCTGGAATTTAAACTGCATAAAAAGAAGGAATATGAGATAAATCTGAAAAGCTGAGTTACAGCCAGACTTTGGAGAGGCAACAGAGAGCCACTGAAGATTTCTGAAGGACAGTCAGACAGACTTATGCCTTGAGAAGATTATTTTGGTGGCTATATGGAGAATAGGCTAGAGAAGACAGAGGATGAAAGCAGAGAGAATTATTAGGAGGAAAAGAGGTTACAGACTAAATTAGGATGGTGGCACTGTCGTGAGAGTAGAATCAAAACTTGGAAACCAACTAGACTAGAGATGAGGGAGGGTGAAAAGTGAAAGATGATCCTGAAGATGAGAATTTAGGGAAATGGAAGGACAGTGACTCCTTCAAGAGAAAAAGTAAAGTTTGGATAACAGATTGTCGGACAACAGATGGAATTCCTAACGAGGAATGCAGGTAAAGATTATCTAGTAGAAAGTTGGCAATAAAGGAATGGATATCAGTAGGTCAGGATCAGATATATAAATCTTGCAAATATTTAAGTAGAGGTAACTGAATCCATGGGATGAAATCATTAGGGAGAGAAATTAGAAAAGGGCACTGGATAGAGCCACAGGAGGAGAGCCAGAAGTGAACAATATCACTTCCAGAAGCCAATGCAGTAAAGTATCTAACAGGAAAAGGTAATTGATAGTATTAAAAAACTACTAAGAGTTTAAGAAAAGACCACTGGATCTAACAGGTAAAAGGCTGTTGATAACTTTGGAGATTGTGGTTTCAGCAGAGTGGTATCATAAAGAAGTCAAGCTACTTTGGGTTCAGAACTGAGTGGAAGGTAAGGAAGTAAAGGTGAATATAAAACTTTTTTTCCTAGGAGTTTGGCTATGAAATGGAAAAGGAAAAATAGGATGATGGCTTGAAGGGATGGCTAGGTTTTGTGAAGGTTTTTTTTTGGAATGGTACAGACCTGGGCATGCTTGTAAGCAGAAATGAAAGAGTCAATGTGCCAGAGACCGGAAAAATTAATTTTAGTGTAGAGAGGCAAGAGAAAGAGACCAGGCTATCACAGGTTGCTGGGGGAATTCTCTAGCCGCATAGCTATTGCTTATCTGCATAGAACAGAGGGGCTGCTGGGGTAAGTTTAAAACAGTTTTCTTACCACAATCTCTCTCAATCCTTTTTCCATTTGAGGAAGTGAAGCCCTGGAGAGATTTGCCTAAGCCAGGGGGTTCAATAAGTCTTAAAAACTAAAATGAATTTCTGGACATAGGTTAGGTAACAGCTGAAGTGAGAAAATCAGGTAAGCCTGTAGAAGACAAGGCAGTTAAAAGGAGTTCAGCTCAAAGAAGAGCTCAGAAGAAGAAAATCAGTTAACGGAAGAGTTCTAAGAAGAGTTCAAAGGGCAGATCTGATCTTAGTTGAGGCCTTGACCTTTGGTGCAACCTGGCTGAGCAGAAGAGCTTCCTAGCCATTGGTTAAGAGAGCTCCATAGCTACTGGCTGAAGATGCTGACTGAGAGCTGTCACTTTTCCAGAAGGCCAAATAATCGCAGCACTGATGACTGAGGCTCTAAAAGAAAACTCTGGGAACAGACTGAAAAAGCTGCGTCTTCTCTGCAGGAAAAGGCTCATGAAGTGCAGGATGAGGGTGACAGAGGTGGTTAAAGAGCTACAACCAAAGCACTGCCAGAGGATGCTGCCAGAGCGTACCGGGGCCTGAAAGAGCTAAAGATCATGACTATCAGGAACAATGGAAGGTAGAACCAGGAAGGGCAGGGCAGAAAGCAATGGACAGCAACAACCTCCAGCAGAGAAGAGCATAATGGTATCAGTAGGAGTCAGTGGGGGCTCTGCGGCATTCAAAGTGTGAGCTGCCCCTCAATGCGGATACGCTGGTCACAGCATCCCCTCCATCACTGGACGCTTGTGCAAGCTATGGTTTGGAGTGGGTTCTGATCCACAAAATATTTAGAACCTGGAGCAGTTAACTGGGGGCCCAAATTGGGGTAGGAAGGGGGGGGGTGTCGCCTACAAGCTACATTAATCACATACCCAAAATGACTAAGAAATATTCACACTGCACATACAGAAATATGCTGATTCAAACTTCTAAAAATCTTTCAATGGAGACAACACTAAAGGGATAAGATCTCAGGCAAAAAGAAAACTAAATTCAAGAGAAATTATGGTTATTAGACTAGAAAAATAGGTATAGGAAAATGGCTTCTCTCAATTTATAGTGTGCCAATTTCAGCAACAGTGTATTGTGAGTAGTTACTATAAGTAGCTCAAAATGTTAGAAACCAAGTTTTGCACTTTAGGGAAAATGAATAATATGTAATCACCACCAGCAGCTCATTCATAATTACATTTATTCCAGATAATTCTTCATTCTTCTTCTGAGCAAATAATATGCGTTTTTGTTCAGTATTCAGTATAACTATTAATGAATAACCTGGTGAAACTGATGAAAGAATGGTCATGTTTTGGTTCTGTAGTATCAAAATATAAACTTCATAACACTTACTGTTCTGAAATTGCTTGTACTTCTTTCACCCAGTTAGACTGCTCTTTATCACCAACATGAACCACTTTAGTTGGTGGGACAGTTTTTCCCAAGTAAAGCTTCTGAGTTCCCTGAGTTTCTTCCAAGTAAAACCTTCAAAATCAAAGCAATGAAACAGATATGAAAATACTAGTTTAATGTGGAACCCTTAAGATAACTCCACTGCTTCAGATGCCAGTAAGACTATATGATGTGAAGAGAACAACCCACTTTTTATTTACCTGGGAAGCCCTGTTCCACTCCATTATGATTCCACTAACCTATATGAATGAGAGAAATCTTTTAAAAAAAATTAGTCAAGTTCATATTTAACACTTTCTCAAATGCTATAAAGTGTACATAAACAGTTCTCATAAGAAGGAGACATATCCTTGAGGTGAAAGATAAATAAGACCTAAGGGAAAAATGACCTAATTTAATGCTTGATTGAAAGCTCAATTTAAAGAAAAAATAGTGAAAATTTTACTTAGACCAAGACAAAGATTCCCTTAAAAAGGGCAAATATTTAACCAATTATATAGAATTTAAGCCCATCCAAGAGTGGTCAGTGTAGGCACATTAGTTTCATCAGGAGTCACTCTTCCATTCCCTCTCACTAGAATCATCTGTGAATTTACAGGTAGAATTTCCTTTTTTAAAGCTAGCTCCATCTGTCTTTCAATCAACAAGCATGTATTAAGTACATACTGGGCACTAGGAACAAAAAGATAAAAATTAAATATCCATTATTCTCAAGGAACCAGAGAACTGTCCACCAGAGAAGGCACTAGGCAAAATGACTTCCTTATGATAATTTGTGATGAGAGCACAGACCTCTCTCTTCTCCAATTTTCTTAAAATTTGCTTTTCTGTTTCTTGAGGTAAGATATCCAGGTTTTTTAATTGGTCACGTTCTTCCAGGAGTCTGATGATTCTTAAGTTCCTTCTGTATATCCTGTCAAAGTCAGTTGCTTTTTCTCATAAAGAATCAAAACATTCTTTTAATGTTGTTGCCTTTTGCTGCTGCTCTGTAAAATTTCCTTACACTTAAATATATTTGTGTTCTGAATATATAATTTTCTCTTTCTGAGTCTTCTTTGGAGTGTTTACTATGATTTGTATTCTGTTGTTGATTTTTTTCATTTGCGCATCGACAGCTTTGATTTCCAACCTAATTTCATTCCTAATTTTTTAAAAAAAGTTTTATTTCTCTCATGAATAATTTTGAACTTTCCTCCTGCTGTTCTATGATCACTGGGGAAAGTCCCCAAAATTCTATTCTAGATCAGAGAATTCTGGAATTTCTTTTTTTCTTATTTACTCTCCCTTCAGTTTTTATATGAGTTTCTCAAATGGTTGTTGTATCAAGGTTTTCCCTTTGATCTTTTGGCATTTCAGTCGTTCTTCTGCATTCTTTGTCTCTCCCCTTTTCCTTTGTGTGGTCAGGCAGAATCAAAGTCACTGCCACTGGGAAATTGGTTGGAGAGCTGTTTATTTATACCCTTCAGAACATTTGAGAAAATGTTAAACATGAACTGCACTAATTTTAAAATTGCAAGATATCTTTCTTATTCATGTGTTTCAAAGAATCATAGTAACTGCGCTTGGGTGGGGTTTCCCGTCCACATAGTGCACTTTTCTCTTCCTAACATAGACACTCTTATTTGCAGCCCTGAAGCACAAGCTTATGGAATTCCTCACACTCACTGGACCCAGTGTGTGCAGTGGACTGGGAGGTAAGGTGGGAACAAAGGGAAGAGTCAGAACTGAACAAGAACCTAAACACCAATGGTATTTCATGAAATTTTTAGTGAGCACTAAATGCTTACTAGTTGACTATGGTCTACCTGTATTCTTCCCTTGAGGATTCAAGACAACTAGATAGCAGAGTAGATAGTGAGCTGGAGTCAGGAAAACCTGAATTAAAATCCTACCCCTGTCCCTTAATTAACTGTGTGACCTGGGCAAGTCACTGAACTGCTCCTCTTATTTTCATTTGTGAAATAATAACAGTACCTACTGTGGCTCACAGGGACATTCTGAAGACCAAATGAGATAACAGATATAAAGTGCTTTGCAAACCTTAGAATGCTACTTAAATGCTAGTAATTACTATTATTATTATTCAATTTTAGTTATTCTATATGTGTATAATAATTTCTTTAAAAAAATTTTTTTTTAGACAGTTGGGGTTAAGTGACTTGCCTAGGGTCACACAGCTAGTGTCAAGTGTTTGGTCTGAGGTCGAATTTGAACTCAGGTCCTCCTGACTTCAGGGCTGGTGCTCTATCCACTGTGCCACCTAGCTGCCCCAATAATTCCCTTTTTTAAAAAAGGTTTTGGGGTCTGCAAAAAACAATTACCCTGCCATCATATAATATACATGATCTCTTCAAAGTGTGCTTTCCTAACTAACATGCTGAATTTATTAGTTACTCTGGAAAAAAGGGCAAGATGTACATGGTAGAGATTTGCCGTTTCATGTGAAGTCCTCTTTTTCTGTTCTTTGGGCAGAGTTGTATTTGTGTTTGCTGGTGTTGAGAATGACAAAAAAGGAAAGATGCTTTTCTAAAGCATGTACATACAACGTGGAACTGTGTCACTTTAGAAAGCTCTATAAACATGCAAAATCAAAATGATACTTCTGAATCAACTTCTGCTTCTTGCATCAGACTTCAGGTGTCCCCCCGCCCCTCATTCAAACAGGTTTAAATAAGCACTTGAGTCTATTAACTAATACCTTTGCAGAACATTTGGACTTAGTAGAAAAAACAGAGAAGAAAATACTGACCTCTAAGGGAAAGACAGGTGAATGGAAAACAAAGCAGGGGAAACACAATTAAGGAAATTAATTTTTGTTACATTTTACTTACTTAGTTTCTCCATCTGATACTGCTACAACCCTAGCTTCTTCAAGGTGAGGCCAGTTAACAAAGACAGACTTTCCAAGCACCAATGAAGCAACATTTTCTATTTGCTTAAAGAAAAAGCAGTAATTTTTATTTTAGCCATTTCATCAGTCAACCTTCAGGACCAAGAAGTAAAAATTTTTAGCACAGATTTTCAGTGACAAAAATTAAACTATGAAAAATTTATATTTTTTGCAAATGTTTTTTCAATGTAAAAAAAAGACACTTTAACAAATAATCAATACATCAAGATCTGTGATTTTATTGGTGGGGCTACTTCCTCCACCAATGCAGACTGTAGCCTCTCTGCCCTTTAGCTCAGTCTCATGAGCTGCTGTAGCCCATTAAAGTCATCATACAGTGGCCAGCCTTCACGTTTATTGGTTCCTCCACACTTAGCAAGGTTAGTTCTCAGATGACAGAGATACAGTCTGTAGCTGGGCTAGTATCTGGAGCTTTTCCTGCCTGGGAAGACCTGCTTAAGCTTGCACTCTACCAGCAAGGTTTCAAGAATACAGAGTAACCTCCATGCCACGATGAGGCAACAGAGCAAGATTTTAACGCAGCAAAAATAATTACAACAAATGCAAAATAAAATAGTACAATATTTATTTAATTCTCTTTAGGCTTAGAGATAATATAGGTTTTCCTCTTTTATATTCAGTTTTCAACTTTTTTTGAAATGTCCCAATTTCCCCAATAATACCCATTTATGCCAACATTTTGGCTCCTCGACAGCCACTCTGCCCACGCCCCACTTAGTAATTTTTCCTTCCTGAATTCAACCTTGTTACTTGCCTTTTCCTTCTCTGCACTTTTTTTCCAGGTTTGTTGTTGTTCTGCAGTTCTATTTTCTCTTGCTCAGTTTGTCCTTGGTTGTTTGCCCTTCCCTTTTCTCCCTCCAAGCTAGTGCTGGCTGGTGAAGGGCACTTTGGCTACTCCCTCTTCCCTCCTTTCCAAGTCTATCTCTCCCTCTGTCAATGGTCTTCTCATCAGGAGAGAGCTGCTGTGCCCAGCCCAAAGTACTTTCCTGTTGTGTGGTGAGCAGAGACACCAGGCAGGTGGCCTGTGGTCCCTGCTTCTCACTTTAAGCTGTTAGCAAGTACTGTCTTTAATCTTGAATGAAAATACTTGCTATGTACCAGGTGCAGAAAAGTAAGTTTCAATATAGCCAAGAGGAACAGTGTTGGTCTACAGGTACAAATGCCACTGCCTACATATATCAATCAGTCAATGACAACAAATCTTAAATGTAGAACCCAAGAGTTCTGATCTCATTACCACTCTAAGAATAAGTTCATTCCCTATATTATTACTTTAAATGAAGATTCTATTAAAGCTAAAATGCTTCACAATTCAATTTATTTAATATATTCTCTGAATTAGAACTTAATAGCTTTACAATAAGAACAAAATTACAAACATGCAATTGAAATTCATGTTTTCCCCATTTTAATACTCTGGACCATTACTAATAACAATTATTCTTACTTGAACTAAATGAATGAGCTATTTTTTAGAAATGTATCTTAGTATTACAAATCATCGAGGTATTTAAAATAATATGAAACCATTCAATGGAAATATGCATGAATTAAATGTTCCTATCAAGCCTAAGCTAACTCATCTACTACCTCTTCACTTGTGTGTGTGTGTCTGTCCAATGTGAAATCCATTTTCTAGTTTTTGAGGAAGAACTGCCCCTCTCTTTTCAAGGCTGTCCCCTGTCTTAGATATCATCTGGGAATCATGATTTTTTAGTGATCTTGCTTTCACCCATATTTCTTCCCTTTCAAGTATCTTCAACATTTTCTCCTACTGATTTTTTCTTTGGTTTCACATATACTGAGATCTCTCCTATCTTGAACAACATTTTGCCTTACCCTTTAAAATGGCATAAAACTGTAGTGCAGTGGATAGAGAGCTGGACTTGGAGTCAGGAAGACCCAAATTCAAATCTGGCCTCAGACAGTTACTAGCTGTGTGACTCCGTGCAAGTCACTTAACCTCTTTACGTCTCGTTTCCTCATCTGTAATCTCTCAGGGTTGTTGTAAAGATAAAATGAGATATTTGTAAAGTGCTTTGCAAACCCTAAAGCACTATGTAAATGTTGTATTATAATCATCACTATTACTATTACCTATCCATACCCTCCTTAAGCTCTTGCTATCTGACTTCTGTCCCCATCACTATTAAACTGTACATTCATAAGTCATTGTCTCCAAATCGCCAGATTCAATGGTTTTTTTCTCAGTTCTCTTTTTCTCATGGATCTCTCTGCAGGATCTGATACCAGTGAAAACCATTTTCTTCTTGAAACTTTCTCAGTTTCTGGGACAAAACACTTCTCTGACCTTTCAGTCTCCTTTTCTGGATTCTCTTCCTCCTTTTGCTCCTAAATGTCCGTCCACTTTCCAAGACTCAAATGACCTTTCTAGACACTTTTTTTTACATTTTGAACCAATTCTATGTTATGGCTTCAGCTATCATCTCTAGACATTTCTTGAATGTCTAGTTCCAACCTTTTATTTGAATCTCATTTCTCTATATAGTTAACTATCTTTAGGCCTCTGTATTCAGAAATAACCATAGTTATGGAATAGCTCAATTTATCATCTTCCTGTTACAAACTAATTTCCTGATTCCCTTTAATGGAAACCATCTTCCTAGGCTATCAAGGCTTTAGACCCTGGAGTCATATTTGACTATCCTCAGTTTTTCACCATCGATGGTGCTTTTTCCTTTGTAATTTTTTTGCCAGTAGTTTCCAGTCCCACTACTGTTACCCTACTTTAGGCATCCCTACCAGAGGCCTCCATTCCTGAACACGTTATACGTGTAAGCCTCTACACTGCCTAACATCCAACTTGCTACCACAACATTACTTAAAAAAAAACCAAAACCAAACACAATTCCTTAATGCCAACTGAAATTTCACAGTGCTAAAAAACAAAAAACCAAACCAAACCAAACACCAAACAAACCTTTCTATTACTTTTCCCTGACTATAAAATCCAAATTCTTTAAGAGACATTCAAGGCCCTTCATGATTTGGCTCTACCATAACTCTGTGATTTCACTTTATCCCCTACTATTGTCCATCAAACATAAATCCGCTGGCTCTAGTCTCAGTGGTTACCTCACTTTTCTCACTTCAAATTTCAAGAAAATTATCGTGCTGTTCCTTAACCCCAAAGTGTCTTTGCCTCCCTTTCCTCTTCTTCTCCGACCCTAATCCCATTCTTCAAAGACCAAATCAAATCTCACTTTCTCTAAGAATAGTTCCCAATGACTACAGTCTATACTGACTTCAAATTTCTATGGAACAATAAGTCTATTTCACTCATTTTGGTGTTTATAATCACATATGTTATTGTTACCTATTTGACTGTCTTCTCAACTACATAAATACTGTTTTTTTTAAAAAAACTCTTCAGTTACTAACATAATGCTACACACATAACAACAGCTCAATAACTGCTGAATGAATGAGATACTTACAAGTTCATCTGAGTCATCATCAACTAGGATTTCTAACATCATATTCTCTCCACGGCTGCTTTGCTGGAATACTTGTACTCCACTTTTCTTCAGAAAAAACTTAAAAAAAAACACCAACCCAATAATTTAATTCTCTAGCTCTTGTAATTTTATATTAAATAGTAGAAATATGGCAATTTGAAGCTAAATTACTGACCTTGTGTTTGATGTGCTTTAAAGTAGGAAACCCACAGAAATACAGTGCCTTCTGGTCAATTTTAGTTATTTTATTGTGACTAACATCTACATGCCAAGCATCTAAAGATATTATTTTATACCTAAAGAAATGAACAAAAGAATAATTATGTTATAAGCTTATAAACAATAGCAATCTTTCTACCTTTTTTTCATTTAAAAAAATTACTATGAGGGAGTAAAGGCTTGCTTTTAAGGTTGAGAATGATAAAGCTCTGCCCCCCTTCCCTCTGTTTACCCCCAATACTTTGTTGTTTAACTCTGTTTTGATTGACTGAGCTAGGAATCATTCAGCAGGCCACACCATCTGAAAAAGTTTTTCTCTCCTTCAGAGTCTATAACTCCCTCCACCCCATATCCCCACTGTATCCCTGATGATCAGCGGTGTTTCACAGAAAAGCCCCTTTAAATCATTTAGAAGGTTGGTGTATGGTTACTGGATTGAGGTAAAAAGGAAGGATGCAGGTAAAGAGAATCCTTGTAGGGAGAATCTTCAAAGGTTGGGCAAAGGGTGGCTGTCTCAATTAGTAATCTGAGACCTATGTTTACTGCTAGAAAAAAAGGGGGAGTTAGTTCCAGAAAACAGATGTCTTACTGTATAGCCCAGGACAGTCTAGCTCCTAAGGTCAGAGATTTAGACCTGGAAGGAACCATTTGGTCAAACCTCCTCCCTGGCAAAGGAGGAAATTATCGTTCAGAGGCTAAGTAACTTGCTAAGGTCATAGAATGGGCGGATAAAGGCGGTGGCAGTTGAACCCAGGTCCTCTAACCCAAAACCAGAATTGTTTCTATTGCCCCCTCTTCTTCCCAGAGCAACTAAACTGTACTGGAACTGAATCAGAGCCTCCTCAGAGCAGGTGAGAGTTCCACCACTCGCTGAGAAAGAAGCACAGACATAAAGATTCAGGGAGGACGCAACAAGATGTTTATGGCCATATGTGGCCTGTGGACTCCCAATGGGCATGGGTTTCTACTATAAGGTATTCACTTATTTATTCTCAAAAGGGCTGCACTGCAAGGTCTTTCTTTCTCCCACTTCAAATCATCAGTTTCTTACCTGGCACGACACTTCTCAAGGCTTGGGAACTTCTCAGGCCAGGGTGAGGGGTACTTAAACCCAGCATCCTGGTCAAACCAATACATTAGGCACTCACTATGCCTGTTTCTTTTCTTCTCCTCTTCTCTCAAATACTTGTTGCATGACTCCATGGCTTGTAGTAATTGCGTCTTAAAGAAAAAAATTAGAGAGAGATTAAGTTTGCCCCCAAAAAATCCTCAGTCAGAAAAAGTGTCTTCTATGTAATGGAAATATTCTCTATATAGGGACTTTTGGGACACCTGTATAGGAACACACACTTCTGATAAAGAAAATCATCAATGCCAAACCTGTTTTTTTTTTCCAGATTTACACCAAAAAATGGGGGATGAATTTCTATTCTCGAAGCCCAAAAGACTGCTGCTACTGCCACCCACTGAAGCTACTACTCCTGCAGGAGGGGTAAGCAGGAGAAGTAGCAGAAACTCAAAATTCAGTAACTACATATTTAACACAGAGGATTATTTTCAGGTCATATACTGTACAACAGTAAAATCAACAGTTACATTAACATTAATGAGCATCACATTAATTAGCATTAACTTGAGTAAACTGTACTAGTTAGAAAATATATTACAGCAATAAATAATAATTTTGTTTTACAAAAAAATTACTAAACAATCAACAGGAACATGCTTTGAATTGTTTTAAATAAAATCTATTCTACTTTGGCATTTATAAAACTAGATTTCTGCCTGTATCTGTTAATTATAATGGGAAAAATATAATTAATTTAAATAAAACACAGGTGTCACTGAAGAATACAGAAGGTCTATTCTGTAATCTTTGGGGGCAAAGACCAGGCAAATGAAAGTGTGCAAAGAACAACACTGTGAAGGCAGGGAGAGAGAGAGAGACAATGAGTGGACTGCACTGCCTCAGATGGAAGAGATGCAGATGGCAGAACCAATAGAAGACATTACACTGGTCACAAAGACACAGATGGTAGGAAAATGGAAAACAGTTCCCCTCTACATAGATTCAAATGTGTGTAGAGTGTCAAATTTTACTAATAAGTTGTTTCATGCATTATGCAGAGAATAAGAATTATCAATAAAACAATAACCAATTCCTAAATTCTCTAAGAAAAGCAATTATTCTGGAACTGAATCTGTGATTCCATTAGTTTAAGGGAACCCAGGGGGGACCTTCTTGTGACTTGCATGCCAGCCCGTTGGTGCTCAGGGCCACGCGGCCAGTACGCAGCAGAGGACAGAGCCAACTCTCTCGAGGGCATCATTCTGTGTGTCAGGCAGAAACTGTTTAAGAAAAAAAAAATCACTGACATTTCTATACTTACTTCATCAATGAATGGGATTAAAACAACAGCTTCCCATTCTTGTTGTTTCCCATTTAGATCAGTTTTAAAATCTGGAGGATAGTATTCTATAATTGGAGATTCTTCACTAGTCATCAAATGCTGTGAAGACAGAAAATAAAGGAAAACTGTTTCTATTTAAGTATTATCAGAATTATAATGGGTATGTTACCTTAGAATGGAAGATATAATTTTAGTTATTTATATTCTGAAAGCATAAACTAAATTTGTACTTTCTAGTACTAAAGACTGCCCCAAAACGAAGCAATAGGTTAGATATGTCCCCTCATAGAGGCAAAGAGGGGACATACTGTGCTTGCCTTTTCTATGGCAAATGATCTATTCTTATATCCTACTGTTTAACTTCTCTTTTAATTCCGTAGACTGTCATAAAAACTCTTTCTCTCAGGTTTCCTACCCTGCTCCCCTCTCGGGAGTGGTGTATCGCTGATATTTTCTTCCATTTATTTTGTATATATCTTTTATGTACCTAAGGGACCATGTTTTTGGCTTTTTTTGTATCCCTGCTGATTGAGTACAGTAATCTCCTACTTCATTGGTTCAACTTGCAGCCATTTTCAAATCCTGACTAAAAACTATTTAATCAGCGAAGTACTTGAATGCTCCCTTCTCTGTCCCTTACACAAGTTTCCAAAATTAAAAATGGAAATCTAAAATCCATGACTCCTACAAATGCCAAACACTAAATCTTCTATTACATAAAGGCATGTTCTGAATATATGTTTTGATGTCAGTAATATCATGAACACAGGAAGAAAGTCTGACCATGTCACTCCTCTATACTGTAGCACCTCCCCACTGCCTCCAGGATCACATACAGCATTCTCTTTGGTTTTTAAAGCCTTTCATAACCTGGAGTCTTCCTACCTTCCTGGTGTTCTTTCATCCTATCTAGCCCCCTCATCGACTTGCGCAGGCTAATCCAGTGATCCCGGCCTCCTTGGGGGTTTTCATCTTCAGACTCTGCACATTTGCACGGCTGCCCTCCATTCTTGCACTGCCCTCCCTTCCTCATTTCTGCCTCCTGGCTTCCTTGGCTTTTTTCAAGTCTCAGCTCAAGTTCTACCTTCTCCAGTAAGGCTTTCCCAATCTTCCTTATTCATAGGGCCTTCCCTCTGAGATCATCTCCATTTTACCCCATACACATATCTTCTCTGTATACATTTGTTTGCAGAAAGTGATCCTTTAGCCTGCAAGCTCCTTAGGAGCAGAGACTATTATTTGTCCTTCTCTCTATCCCTAGAATTTATTGCAGTGCCTGAACATAAAGGTACTTAATAAATCCTTGCTAACCATCAGATGTAGCCATTAAGATAGCGTTAATAACTTTGAAGGGAGCAGTTTATTTTGAGGGATATCAGAAGCCATATTCAAAAAGGCTTAAGAATGAGAGAAAGTTTAAAGAAGACAATTTGGCTAATAAAGAGATACAGAGGGATAGAGCCAAGGTGGTGGAGTAAAAGCCGTGACTTACTCGAGCTTTCCCCCAAACCCTTCCAAATACCTGTACAAAATAGCTGTAAAAAAATTCTAGAGCAGCAGAACCCACAAAAAGACAGAGTGAAACAAATTTCCAGTCCAAGATAACCTGGATGGTTGATTGGAAAGGTCTGCTTTTCAGCCCTGGAGCAACAGCTGCTTCCTGAGCCCTTAGCCCGCAGACAAAGGAAGGACTGAGCGGCTGATCAGAGGGAGATTGCAGGGATATCTTTGCTGGTGCTGAGGCAGGAATTTCTTGCTTTGTCTGTGCTTAGATCTGGGTCACAGTTCTGGGTGGTGGTCCTGGGGTGAGGAGTGCTGGCGTGGTAGGGCTTGTAGTGGTGGTAAAGAGGGAATCCTCCTCACAGTTCAAATGAAGAAAAGAGTGCTTGTGGTCACTCATAGACCAGAGCCAGGCCAGGAAAAGAGTAAACACCTCACCCTTGATCATACCACCTTGGAAGAACTGAAAATTTACAGGTCCCTAGAAGTATCTTTGAAAACAGCTGCACAAAACCCCTGAAACTTGGGAAAGTACATTCTCCACACTGGAAGCAGATCCCTACCTTAACAAAGAGTTTAAAACTCAAGTAATTGGCTGGGAACAAGAGCAAACTGCACAAAAGAAGTCAGACCACAGAATCTTTCTTTGGTGACAAAGAAGATCAAAACATACAACCAGAAGAAGACAACAAAGTCAAAGCTCCTAGAAAAACATGAATCAGTACCAGGCCATGGAAGAGCTCAAAAAGGATTTTGAGAAGCAAGTAAGAGATGCAGAGGAAAAACTAGGAAGAGAAATGAGAATGAAGCAAGAAAATCATGAAAAACAAGTCAACAGCTTGCTAAAGGAGACCCAAAAAAAATACTGAAGAAAATAACACCTTAAATATAGCCTAGGAGTAGATAGGTGGCGCAGGGGATAGAGCTCTGGCCTTGGAGTCAGGAGGACCTGAGTTCAAATCTGGTCTCAGACACACAACACTCATTAGCTGTGTGACTCTGGGCAAGTCATTTAACCCCAATTACCTTACAAAAAAACAAGCCTAACCCAAATGGCAAAAGAGGTCCAAAAAGTCAATGAGGAGAAGAATACCTTCAAAAGCAGAACTGGCCAAATGGAAAAGGACATTCAAAAGCTCACTGAAGAAAATACTTCCTCAAAAATTAGAATGGAGCAAATGGAAGCCAATGACTTTATGAGAAATCAAGACATTGTAAAAAAAGCCAAAAGAATGAAAAAATAGAAAACAATGTGAAATATCTCATTGGAAAAACAACTGACCTAGAAAATAGATCTAGGAGAGATAATTTAAAAATTATTGAACTACCTGAAAGCCATGATCAAAAATAAAGCTTAGAAATCATCTTTCAAGAAATTATCAAGGAAAACTGCCCTGATATTTTAGAACCAGAGGGTAAAATAGAACATGAAAGAATCTACCGATGTCCTCCTGAAAGAGATCCCCAAAGGAAAACTCCTAGGAATACTGTAGCCAAATTCCAGAGTTCCCAGATTAAGGAGAAAATACTGCAAGTGGCCAGAAAGAAACAATTCTAGTACTGTGGAAACACAATCAGGATAACACAAGATTTAGCAGCTTCTACATTAAGGATCTCAGGGCATGGAATATAATATTTCAGAGGGCAAAGGAGATAGGATTACAACCAAGAATCACCTACCCAGCAAAACTGAGTATAATCCTTCAGGGAAAAAAATGGATATTCAGTGAAATAGAAGATGTTCAAGCACTCTTGATGAAAAGACCAGAGCTGAATAGACAATCTGATTTTCAAATACATGACTCAAGAGAAGCATGAAGAGGTAATCAGGAAAGAGAAATCATAAGGAACTTATTAAGGTTGAATTGTTAATATTCCTGCATGGAAAGATGATATTTGTAACTCATGAGACATTTGTCAGTATTAAGGTAGTTGGAGGGAAAAAAATTATATGTGCGTGTGTGTATATATATATACATATATACATATATATATGTATACACACACACATATAGATAGATATATAGATAGAAGGCACAGGGTAAGTTGAAGATGAAGGGGTGATATCTGGAGAATAAAATTAAGGCATGAGAGAGGATTACACTGGGAGAAGGAGAAAGGGAAAGGAAGAATGGGGTAAATTATCTCACATAAAACAGACAAGAAAAGGCTTTTACAGTGGAGGGGAAGTGGGGGAAGGTGAGAGGGAGTGAGTGAATCTTATTCTCATCGGATTTGGCTTAACAAGGGAATAACATACACACTCAATTGGTTATGGAAATCTATATTGCTCTACAGGAAAATAGCAGGGAAAGGGATAAGAGAGCGAGCAGATGATTGAGGGGTGGGAAGATTGGGAGAGAGAGTAATCAGAAGCAAACACTCTTGAGGAGGGCCAGGGTCAAAAGGGAGAATGGAATAAATGGGGGGTAGGATAGGATGAAGGGAAATATAGTTTTTCACAACATGACTACTATGAAGTGTTTTGTATAACTATATGTGTATAACCTGTATCGAGTTGCCTGTCTTCTCGATGAGGACGGGTGGGAAGAAAGGGAGAAAATTTGGAAGCCAGTTTTAAAAACAAATGTTAAAAATTGTTTTCACATGCTTGGAGTATAGAAATCTATCCTGCTCTACAGGAAAACAGAAGGGGAAGGAGAGAAGAGAAGCGGGGGAGATAAAAGGGAGGGCAGATTAGAGGAAGGGGTATTCAGAATGCATGCTGTCTTGGGGGGAGGAAGGGCAAGATGGGGAGAAAATATGGGACTCAAAATCTTGTGGAAATGAATGTTGAAAATGAAAAATAAAAAAAAATTTAAAAAAAAGAGATACAGAACAATAGCTTGAGGGGACAAAGGTAGGAGGGTCTAGTGAAGATTTTTTTAAGAATGAGGATAAACAGGGGCAGCTACGTGGCGCAATGGACAGAGCACTGGCTTCGGAGTCAGGAGGACCTGAGCTCAAATCCGGCCTCAGACACATAACACTCACTAGCTGTGTGACTCTGAGCAAGTCACTTAACCCCAACTGCCTCACCAAAAACAAAAACAAAAACAAACAAGAATGAGGATAAACAAAAACAAGACAAGATGGCAAGTTAGTTAAAAAGTAGATGAGAATGCAGTTTGAACTAGTTAACTATAGAGTCAAGATAGGACAGGGAAAGAAGTTAAGTAAGAGCACATATAATGTTCTGAGAAAGCATGACTGAACGGAGGAATGGCTGTCTAGATGAAGACAAACAAGGAGTTTAGGAGGGACGAGGTATAAGAAAAGGTCAAGTTTTCTAGAAACATAAAATACATATATGGGAGGCCTGTGGGGGCAGAGGGAAGGCAGGAGCTAAAGTTTGGGAAAACTGAAAAGAAGACCTGGCAGACTGAGAGAGGGGAGAGAGAGGGGAATCCTGGAGAATGAGGGAGCCTAGTAGCATGTAAATGCTAGGGCTGGGGGTCCAGGGCAACAAGAGGCCACTGACTGACAGTGACATGGTGTCCTCAGCCTCAGATGGTTTGTTTCATGCCACTAAGGAAGACTTCCTGTGGGAAGGAGAAGATCAATTCCTTCTAACCAATCTTTCCCGCAGTAACCTTAAAAAGATTTTCCAGGGGCAGCTAGGTGGCACAGTGGATAGAGCACCGGCCCTGAAGTCAGGAGGACCTGAGTTCAAATCTGGCCTCAGATCAAACACTTGACACTTACTAGCTGTGTGGCCCTAGGCAAGTCACTTAACCCCAATTGCCTAAAAGCAAAAAAAAAAAAAAAGATTTTCCATATCTCTCCAAGCCTAGATTTGTATAATTTTAGTCTCCCAACTCTAGCCACTCTTCTCAAATATCTCTATATGATTATTAATTCTTGAAGTTTCTTTAACAAGCCAAAAAAAAATTCATTCTACTTTTTTTTTTAAAAATAGAAAAAAGGGGTAAAATTAAAATATACAATTGATGCCATCACAACAGTATGTGACTTTTGGTCAAAGCATAATCAACTGAGTACAAACAATAATAATTACATTAAATAATTCCCCCATTTTGATAGGGAAGCAGGAAGATGGGGTATCCAACAAAGGATCATAGTGACAGTGTGGAACTGAGGGGCTCAGAGATTTAGAACAGGAAGGGACCTGAGTAGAAGAAGAAACTGAGGGCACAGGATTAAGTGACTTGGTCAAGGTCATAAAAGAACAATTAACTTAGCTGGGGTTGATGACCAGGTGCTGGAATCCGCCCCCATACAACGGGTGGGAAAGATGCTGGATACCCAGAGAAGAAGGGACTAGCAGGAATACAAATGAACAAAGCTCTGCCTATATTCAAATGGACACAGAACAATGAAGGTTGTACAGGGGAGTCTTTTTTATCACAAACTGCAAGTCCTGCTTGGAATGCTGTCAGAAGCTTTTTCCTATTTCTTAGTAGAAACAGTAACTCTCACTTTCCTTTCCTGGGGATTAATCATGATCTTGCTATCATGAAAGAACACTGGAGTAGGAGTTAGGAAGGATTCATGGGTTCTGTTTCCAGCTCTGCCACTTCATGAGCACTTGTAAGATCAAAGGACTTCAGAGCTATTATTATGTCCAACTACCTTATTTTGGTGAAGTAGAAACAGAAAAGTTAGGAATATGCCCAAAGTCACAAAGGTAGTAAGCAGAAAGAAAAGAACCAATGGTCTGTCCATTATATTACATGTCCTTTATCTTTACGCCTCCACATAATCTTGTGAAATATGGAGTTAATAACACTTCTGGCCTGAAATCAGCATTAGGGAAAGGAGAACCCATACCTACAAAATTCTATCTCTTTGAAACACTGAATTATTATTACTATGATTAATATTTAAACCTAAACCAAACACATTTAATGTGATTACTTTTGTAGTTCTATAATCTCATTCACGAGTTTTATGCAAACACATTTCTACCTTTAATAGTAAATTAACTAAATTTTGAAAGAACCAAATGATGGATAAAATACCTTTAATTCTAAAACCCACCTGGTAGCACCTTGGAAGCAAATCCTTGCTGGCTGCTGGTAGTACAGCAAGAAGCTGTTCAAATGGCATGAAAGGTTTTCCTAACTCAAAATGAATTTTGAGTTCACTAATGTTGCGAATATCTGACAGATAAGGTGCATAATGGTAAGGGTAATACCTATAAAACAAAAATTATTTCCTTAATCAGAAACCTTAAGACACTGAATCAAGATAACTCAATCTATTTTTAATAATTACATAGATAGCATGCAAATAACAACAAAAGTTTTAATTATGTTTGACCTGGGGACCAGATACTAAGGTTACATAAGCTGTTGAGTTTTATCTTATGAGAAAGGGCAAATTAAAGATTCCTTTTCAGTACAGATTTTGCAGAGGCCCTGGGAGGCCCAGACAGAAGAATCAGAGCAATTAATTTCATATAAACATATTTTTACAAAACACCCAAGTAAAACACCAATTTTAAGTAACTCCAAATTAATTTAATTTTGCTTTTTTTGGAAAGTGTTTTGAATAAAGTAAGAGAAATAATATTCTTTACTTCCTGGATTTTTATAGATAGTTTAGGCATTTTAATGTATTTCCACCCAAAAGAAATTATTATTTCTCTCTTATATGAATAACCAATTACTTTTGGGAAGATCCAGCATTTTTTCCCTTCCTACTTCCTCATTCTCTACTAGGTCAAATCAGCTCCTGAAGAAAAGAGCTGATAATGAGACTGGATTTAACATTCTTCTCAATCTTGTTCAGACCCCACCCAAAATGGGAAGCCCACTATGTTCTACTCAGGACTGGGTAGGGGGTAGATCCTTTGCCTGGGGCTGAGGGTGGTTGGGGAGTGAAGATGATATAATCAAAGTCACATTCCCCCAGCCTCTGATTAGATTAGGTCAACTTCTGATTATAATACTCATTCTTCTCATTAATTTTTAACCAATCAGAGTTGATTGCCATCTGCTGGGAACACTTACTTTTCCAAGGACATATAAGCATCAACAGGCTGCCATAATGTGTCTTTGGTGAACCAAAGATGGCCAAATGACCATCCTTTATTAATTATTTACTAGTAATAATTAACAAAATGGTTAATTACCCAGAAACTATGTGTCTCAAACTTTTTATAGGTCACACACCCCTCTGCCCTGGATGGGAAGGGTGAAGGAATAAATAATGAAATTAGGTTGCTGAACGCTAGTAATTTGTTCCTCCTCCAATCCAAATTATAAATCATATACAATTTAGGTACTTGGTCTTAAGAGTGAAAATTAAATGGACAGAAATCAGAGATTATTCATGCAAATAATGTGTTGCAAACAAAGTACCTTGAGCCATCTCCTAGAACTAGAAATACCTCAGTTTCACAAAGCTCTCTGAAATACTATTCATAGTTTACAAGATTTTACCTGTTTTTCAATTAAACTTGCTAATATTCATTTCACTTGAAAAGTTGCCATAAATAAAAGCAGTATAGAAAAGAAAACTCCAAATGATAATACAGTATATCACAGTAATTAGCAAAAGAAAACACAACATAAAATTTATGGCATCATGAAATTTTAAGCCAGAGGGGTTATTAGAGATCCACAACCATTTCATTCTCTGGATGAGGCAAAGGTCTTACCAACTCCAGGACTGAACTCCATGATAGTAGTAGTGCAGAATCCACTGTATTGCCTGCACGTAACATTCAGCTTGGTCAGCCAGAAAGTCACTAGAAATGGAAAAGAGTCACATGGACATGTTTCCCTTTCTCAAAGCCTGCACAGTTTCTAGGCTGCTTAGACTCGAAGAGAACTTTCCTGAATATGCCAGGATGGGTCACCTTCATCCTCTGAACTGGCACAAAGCACTGTGTGACATGCTTTGGAGCTCTCATGCCCAGTTATCTGCATAGGTGTCTTGTAGCCATCCTGGACTATAATAACTCACATTTTTATAGCACTCTAAAGTGAACAGAATCTTTTTTTTTTTTAACAAATAGTCTGTGGTAAGTAGTATTTGCAAGTCTTACTCACAGTCAGTTTAATAATAACAGGTAGCATTTACACAGTGCTTTTTTAAGGCCTGAAAAGCATTTCATACCCATTGTCTCACCTAAGCTCAGAGAGGAAACCTGGCCAATGTCATACAACTAGAAGGGCTTGTGTGGGAAAACAATTTCAGGTCTTTGGATTCGAGACCCAGAACTCATTCCACTATGTCATGTCACTCCATGAGGTCAGGGAATGGGCTTATTGATTGAAACTTTGTACCTGGCTCAGCACTTAGAACAATACTCTGCATACAACTGATACTGTTCATGGCAACCATGAGAGGTACTTACTCTGAAACGATTTCTACTCCCATCTTGGTCATGTAATATGTTCTCTTGTACTGTCTAAATTCTGTTTCAAAGAGGTCATCATCTTCAGGTTCATCTTCTATGACACCTGAAACAAAGCCAAGAGAATGATGATATGTAGGCTCATACATAAAGTTCTCCCCCTCCCTAATATTATTAAATTATCTACTTTGGATGCCGATACAAAAAAGGTAGGAGATGTGTCTCGCAGAAACGGAAGATAAATACAAGGGAGAATTTTTTGCTCACTCTTTGAAGCCACTACTTCTTCTTCAGTTTTGTCTAAAGCAGCCAAGCACATGGAGTTTTCCTGGCCCTAAAACATAAAAAACTACATAAAATCAATGGAAGTGTTTATTTCAGACTTTTATAAGCAAGGAGTACAAGAAAGATAAAAATATTTCAAATAATACTTACATGACATTTGAAAACCATATATTTGTATTAGTATAAAATGAACTGGTTTTTTTATAATCAATACTTAAATTGCACAATTTGTTCTGTAGGATACAATAAATAACTGGGGATTTCATAAGGACGGACTTCCATGGCCTCTAATTTTCTACCTTCCTTCTTTTCTGTGATTTCACATCCTTAACGGTGGTGTGGCACCTATGCTGATGTCGTCTTTATTCCCTAATATTTTATCTTCAGAATTTAAAAACAAATGAACAACAAATACAAATCCAATCCAGAAAAACAGACCTTTGCTTCAATAATTATTTCTATACTAGAAAAGCAAAATGTATGATTAGCACAAATGATTAATTCTGCAAAAAAGACAATAAACTTGCAAAATAATGCTATTTTTGAAGCTTGGTAAACACAGTAAGAATTGTACATACTGCTGGTTGATAAGAAATACTCTGATCAGGGACACAAAGAAACCTTTCGAAGCCTTGGCCTGGACTTATTATTCTGTTTTTGCTCCATCCTCAAAATCATTATTGACTACACTCAACTTTCTGATGCTCTTCACTACTTACAGCTAGTTTGTTTTATAATAATGATAATGATGATGATGATGATAACGATAGCTAGCATTTACATAGTGCTTGCTATGTTCCAGGCCTGTACTAAATGATTATACATTTACCAAGATTACACATTTTCTGCTCCACTTCACTGCCCTCAGCTTTATTAACCCCAAGATTAATGATGACAAGGCCAGAGGAGGGGGCAATAAACCTGAGGGTTAATACCTTGGTACCTTCAGCAGCCTCACTGACTACTGTGACGGTGACAAAAGGTAAAGAATTGGATAGAGAGCAGGTGTGAGACCAGATTAACAGGGCAGACTGAGAGCAGATTGATCCCAGGGACAAGCTATCTAAAAAGTCCAGTTTTACTACGATGCAGTTTATTGTGGCAAAATAGTCAAAAGTCTGAGGATACAATTGACTCTGAGCTTGTTTAGTGACTTATACAGATTCTAGTCATTACCAGCAAGTGACTGATTCATCTGATATCATCACCGTGGTTGTTTTTATTGGCTACTTGTCAGTCTGAGGTCTTTTTTAAAGCTTTGTCTTAAAGTAAAAGTCTTTAAAAATATCCTGTTGGTGATACATTTTTACAAATGGAAATGAGAAACTTTTTGACCACATACATATGCTTCTGAAATAAAATAACTTTTATGAACATAATGTTTACTTATAACAAAGTACATGACTAATACAAAAAACAATGAGATACAATTATAAATCCTATTATTAAGCAGTCGGTCACTAAAAAAAGAGGAAATCCTAGATCACTGTTAACACAATTCTTTTCTATTAACATTTATAATATTAGGTGACTAATAAAAACCTGTTTTCTAATTTTTTGTTGATTACTAATTCTCTGAATTCTTTCTACCTCCCTCTTAACTCTTTTCTTCTATTGTCCTTTCATACTCTCTGATTTGTTTCCTGCATACCTACCTACTCTCCCCAACACCACTGTCACTATTACCTTCTCTCCTTTTCACAGTATCTACTCTCTCCTCTATTTCTACTCTATCTGCTGCCACCTGTGCCCGTCTTTCTTTCAGATAGCTTATGATCTGGGTAGCCTTTCCTTCTCTGTTCTTTTTACCCTGTCTCAAATAAGACTCTCTGTCAAGTCTGGTGAAGAGAGAATGGAGGCTTCAGCTGGAGAGCTACAACAAATGTCACTGTGTACCGTCAGGATGAGCTACATGTACTAAGTTGAGAGCCGTGTGGTCTAGGCCCACTGAAGTGTAAAGCTACATATACTGTTTCAAGTGACACAATATCTATAAAGTGCTTGTAAACCCCAAAATGCTATACAAATGCTAGCAAGGTAGACTGAGACAGAGGCACCCAGGAAGATGAAAAACAAAGGCAAAAGCACCTTCTCCCTAGAGTGAGAAGAGAGGCTGAAGTCAAAGTAGAGACCAGGCAGCAAACAGATTAAAAAGGGAACTCTATCAATAAATTTCATTAGGAAATACTTCCCAACTAATGACTATATATAACAAAGACTGAAATTTTTATGTATAACTTTTGTTCTATTATGTACATGGATTAGATGGCATTTAAGTTTAGAATAAAAAAAGAACTGATGTAAAGGACCATTCCAGTACATTCACCCTTGAAAACATATTAATATTAGAATATTCACTAAAGATGCCCTAAGTGCAAGGTAAAGGAAGCCCAACCCCTGCCCACAAGGGGCTTATATTTTACTGGAGTCAGAGTGAGTAGGAGATCCATACACACAAATAAGTGTGACACAAAGTGAGGAGTTAACAGAGAGTAAAGACAAGAACAGGTCACGTGAGGGTCAGGGAAGGCTAATCAGACCATTATCTGGGCTTGGAAATCTAGAAAATCTGAAATGGAACATATGAGTATGATCTGGGGTTTGTAGGGAAGAGGAAAAAGCCCCATAAGTTAGCTCAAAAGACTTAAAGGGAGACAAACTGCCTTTCAGAAGACCAGAAAGGATATAAAAAAGGCAAAAGATTTAAAAGGCAAAAAAAGAGTCCACAAACAGGAAGAAATGTAAAGAATGAACTAAGGAAACCCTAACACTATGAAAAAGGAAATGAGAATGAGTTTTGTAATTGTAATTGAAAATTGAAAACAAACAAACAACTTTACTAGCCTTCAGTTTCTTTTGTTTGTAGTTCTTTGCTTCCTCTGCTGCAATACCTGCTGCTTCATTGAGGTATTTGTTGCCAACTTTGCTTTCAAACCATTTCAAGTCAACGAAAACTTCGCTGAAGTGTTCACGATCAAACTGTACAAAAATATTTTAGTTTAACTTAAAATAACTGTAGTAAAGGGGGACTTCTAGTGTGAAATGTTGCATATATTGACAAATGCAGCCACTTTACTCGTTGGACTTTGATAAGTTTTCTTTGTTACATGATTTAATTGAGAGAGTATACTGAGAAACAACTTGAGAAAAAATAGTCATATTATTAGTCACTGGTACTATTTAAAGTTGTTATGGCATACTTTATTATTTCAATTATTTGTTATTCAACTATAAAGGATTCCTTTGCTGATTTAATATACAAACTTTTAAATTACTTACATCAGACAGTTTTATAAGATATTTCTCAAACCGAGGTAAGTTGAGATGGCCATTTTCATTAATGTAACCTAAAGGAGACAAAAAAAAATTTATGCTAAAATTCAAAGATATGTGTAATTTAAAAAAATTTTTCTAAAAAATTATATATGTAATGAGTAATGAATGGATCAAGGTTGGTATAGTGGAAAAAACATTGAATTTGTAAAAAAAAAAGCCTTCACACACTACTATTTGTGTGAAGCTGGGAACATCGCTTTACTGTTTTGTGTTATAGTTTAATTTTTTTCTTTTCATTTTGTCTTTGTTTTTCCAGGGCCTAACATAATGCTTGGCACAAGGCATATGCTTAATATGTACAGATTGCTATGGAAAATAATAACTCAGAATGGCTGAATTTTAAGGTCCCCTTTAACTTTAAAATTCTAGGCACCCTAAGGCACACAATGACATTCTACTAATTAGCATTACAATGAAAATGCCCAATTCGGACTTATCTTATTAGTCTTAGTTTCTATGTATTTATACAGTATCATAATGTTCAAAAAATAAATGATTGGGGCAGTTAGGTGGTGCAGTGGATAGAGTAGGGCCCTGCAGGCAGGAGGACCTGCATTCAAATCTGGCCTCGACACCTACTAACTGTGTGACTCTGCATAAGTCACTTAACCCCAATTTTCTCCCCCCACAAAAAAGGAAAAGAAAAACAGAATATATGCCTACACAACCATAAAATTACTCATAATCTATCTATATAAACTATAACAGTATTAGGGTAGAACTGATTAAATATAAAACATTTAATTATTAAAACTTTAATTTACTGTGGTTGGCTACTTCGTCGTGGCTTCTTCTCTGTTTGATCTACCCTTTTCCCTTTGCTGACCCTTAGTTTGCAATGTTCCATCTCCCTTCCTGTCAGCCATTTTTCTTTTCCTTTTTTCCTGTAAAATCTATTGATCCACAATAATATTGGTTCCTACTCGGTGAGACGGCCAAGATTTTTTTTTTAACCAAAGTTATGCTTAACTATGCTTAACATTATAGCTATGAAGCTGGCAGTTTCTGTCAGTTTCCGTAATACATGCTTCACCAACTTTAAAGGGTTCATGTCAAGAATTACAGTAATTATTAAGAAGGCCATTTCACTTTATCTTCACTATTCATAAAGGAATCTGGAAACTCTGACCCACGAGGAACCCACCTTCTTTCCAGATCTGCCATTTGTATAGCTACCTAGTAAACTGAGTGCTATTTTTAGTGTGTATGGATGCTAAATCAGTTTCAGTGTAATTGTTAAAGATTTCTTACCACCAAGTTCTGGCAAGACCGTCATATATGTTCTATAAAGAAGAGGCAGTGCATCATGATTGATATGCAAATGAGGTAGATGAGGAATAAAATCATTGCCGACAAGAAATCCCATTAAAATCCAATCGTCTATTATCCTTTCAATGTCATATTTAAAGGAAATCTTGTCCTATTGTAAAGTGAAGAAAAAAATAAATGCCATGAAAAATTCTACACATAAGAGCTTTTTTTGCACTCGGCTAGTGTGATACTTACTTTTAATGCCGAAAACTCATAGTCAACATATTCTCTCATTAAAGACAAGTGTAGGAGGTGAAATGTAGTTTCTTCTGGTGCACATACCCTGAAAATCAGACAGATTAAAACCGCCATTTACACTTTTAAGGTCAGAATATCAAAACAAAAACTGAATATCAAAATTACCTATCAAGAAGATAGTATGAATTTTATTAAAGTTTTATAGTCAGCATGATGATAGCATTTATTATAGATAAAAGCAAATTGTATTTTACAACAGAGAAAAATTAGAATGAAGTTTAAAAATAGTATTAGCCAGTTGTGTAGAAAAATCTCAAAATATAGGAACTCTTCTGACTTAAAAAAAACCACATTACTAAAAAATGATGCTTCAATACTTGACTTAGAACAGAAACATTTTAGAGGCTTAACATTTCTAACTGGAATATGACTCAGTTAAACTTGCCAACTAGCGAAAAAAGGAGGAAAAATGGTTGAGAAGCCCTAGAGTGCAATGTCAGGGTTATATCAGAGAGAGAACAGTTCTGTTCCTCTTCTCACCTCCCCCTATCCCAAAATGCAAGTTGTACCAGTTTAACTCTAAGTATGAGGAAGAATTGGGGCAGTTGGGTGGCACAGCCCACAGAGCAGAAGACATTTACCTGAGTTCAAATTTGTCTTCAGACTAACTGTATAACCCTGGGCAAGTCACTTAACCCCATTCGCCTCAGTTTCCACCTGTAAAATGAGCTGGAGAAGGAAACGGCAAACCACTCCAGTATCCTTGTCAAAGACACACTGAAAAGGGTCATGAAGAGTCAGATACAATTGAAAGGACTCAACAAATGATGAAGGAAGGAGACTTAAAGCAGTTTAAGTAGCTTTCCACATTATGGCTTGGTGATCTTACAGAAGTCCTAAAGCCAAGGAAAAGGTCAGTTCTCTATTAGTAAAACAAAACAAAACAAAACAAAACTGCCAACCACTGATTTGTGTTAAACAACAGGAACATATGTAAATATATACTATACAGTGAAGCTTCATTAAAGGAGCTCCAACGATGGATAATTTGTGATTATTCAAAAAAGCTGGCAGAGATTCATTATCTTCGCATTTGAGTCATCTACTCTGCCCAATATGTGGAGGAGCTACAAAGACCATGGGAGATGGAGTCTCTAATGTCCATAATTTTACTGGGAAGAAAAAAACTAATGGACATTAAACAACGGTAGAACGGCACAATACGGTGTACATAAACTTTGTTGTTGTTCAGTTATTTTTCAGTTGTGTCCAACTCTTCATGACCTCATTCAGGGTTTTCTTGTCAAAGATGCTGGAGTGATGTGCCACTTTCTTTTCCAGTTCATGTTACAGATGAGGAAACTGAGTTAAATGACTTGTTCTGGGTCACATAGCTAGTAAGTGTCAGAGGTGACATTTCAAATTAGGAAGATGAGTCTTCCTGACTTCAGACCCAGCACTATAGCCACTGTGCTATCTAGTTGCTCTTAAAGCTTAAAAGTACACTAAGACTTTATGGATGTATGTACTGAATTTTTATCAGGGAAAAATAGTGGCTATGGTGGAATGGGAACAAGCAAGGGAAATAATAAGCCTTATTTTTATTTCACTCTCTCAATAAATTAAACGATGACAAACTATCCTCAAACAACACTGACTGCTCTGATTGCACTGTCCTATGTTCCCATGGCATATACTTTTGTAAGTCATGATTTACCTTTGTGTTTTCTTGCCACCAAATCGGACCTCCTCCCTTAAAAGAGAGAAATGTGACTCATGACTTGTTAATCCAAGCATAATCTGTTGAAAAAGGATTTAAGAGATGTTTCTGTTCAACAGGTTACGATATCAGGTTCACTTTTTACTATGAATATTTATTCGAAAAACATTTATGTACAAAACATTTTATTTTAGAATATGCTTACTATTTATTAAGGCATAAAATATAAGTGGGATTCTTATAGCTAGAGATTATAAAAGGCTTCCTTTTCTACAATGTGTAATGACTATGAACAGGGACAAAATGAAATTTTTTAGTTACATAAAAACTCACTTATGTGATTAAGACAACAGTGTTCATTCACATGAGACTCAGAAGTAAAGAAGCTTCAGTTTCCACCCCCTCACCCTCATTGGCCTTTCACATAGTTCACTGTCTATGGCAATAGAATAGAAGGGAGAGTAGAAAGGAGCCATCAAGGATTCAAACTAGAAGAATAAAAGTGAGAAAAAGATACGGCATGCAGTTCAACAAGTACCAAGAACGGGAAATGGAAACAAAACTGACAGATTATAATCTTGTACAGAAGTCTAACCTGGGCAGATCAATTACAGACCCAAAAGACCCTAAAAACTGATGCTTTAGGCAAATGAAGGGATGGCAGCAAAGGACAACATTTGTTTGGATTATAAACTCCTTTGTGAAATCTTAGAGAGAAAGATAGTAGGAGATTATGAGTAATATCACCTCATAAAACAGGAAGAAGTAGTGAGACAGTGAAAGAAAAAACAACTATAAGGAAATTGTTGTTAGAAACCCAACTAAGCAGTTACCTTGAAGTTATTTAATGAAAAAAAAAACTGGAAAGATGGTAGTAAGCAGATGAAAGATGAAAATCTCGCTAAGCAGGTATTTTTATAATAAACTCTTTCTGCCATTATGGACATAAAGTCGTCATATCTGAACTCTAACATAATACTTCTGAACATGCTTTTTAAAGAATTATAAATGACATTAAGAAAGCAAAGATGGGAAAAGTAGTAAGACTAAATCAAGTACGTACAGAAATGTCCACCCTGGAGGTCACAATTTTGAGGGCACTGAGGGACAGGGAGAGGGTATTTGAATGAAGGGGAAGATGCCAAAGGAAGGGGTGAGGAGAGAAATGAACCTTATTATTACCCTCAAAAAGTGAGAGTACAGCTACATTTAACTACTAATCTACCTATGGGCCTACTTCATTAGCTCTATACAACTTTTACAAAAATAAACTATATAGGTATCAAAGTCATCCACAATAAGAACATTGTAAAGGAATATCACTCGCTTTTGCAATGGATATTTCATAGCAAATCACATCTTTACTATGCCACAATTGACTGGAGATAGAATTTACAGGATCCTACTGTACTTTCTGTTTATTATCCTTAAAAAAAGTTTGATTCTATAGAGCAAAATACCACCTCTTAAAGACTATTCTTCAAGAAGGTGCCTCCCATGCTCATGCCAACATAAATAAGAAATCTTAAAAATATAACAGAGACAACTTTGTTTAATCACACTGATCATTAATACCAAGAGAAGTATAAAATAGGGCAATATGTATTCTCCAGACATGCTCATCACTCCCATGGAAAAGATCTAGTGCAATGTCCAGTTTGAAGAGTGATTTTCCGTAGAAGGTGAGGTCCTCCAGGTGCTGCTATATGTGGATGACATTGCTGAATTGCATCAAGCTCTGAAACAATGCAGAACCTCCTAAATCAGAACCATAATCACACAAAGGTCTGGTGTTTTTTTTTTTTTGAGGGGGGGAGGTAGGGGGCAGGTGGAGTGTATTTTTTAACAGCTATATTTCTCTGGTAATGTTGTATAATTTTGAGTCACGGTCTGCTACAGTCTCCAAAGAAGTAAACTGACGATCACTAATACAGTGAGATGAGGTTGCAACACACACTAAAAAATGAATTATGCAGAAGTGGTATAAAGAATGTTATTAAAGCTATGTATGATCGAATAAAATGGAAAAACAATTAAGCATTTACTAAGTATCAGGCACTGGAAATACAAATATGAAAGTGACAAAGTCTCTGCTCTCTAACAGAAAAGACAGGACACCCATGTGGTAAGAATGAGGGCTACTTGATGGAAAGTTTCACTGCCTTTCTTGTAAGGTCAGGAGAATATGAGGAACAAGAAACAAGCAGGCATGAATGAGCTATGAATTGTATGGTAATAATACTTACATTAATAAAGTTATAGATCTACTGGGCTACATGCAAGGAACTTTGTTATATGCTAGGGGAAAAAAATTCATCCCAAACCCTCGAGCTTACATTCTAAGGTCAGACACTATAGATTCTTCTTCTTCTTTTTTGTTTGGAGAGGCAATTGGGGTTAAGTGACTTGCCCAAGGTCACACAGCTAGGAAGTGGCAAGTGTCTGAAGCCGGATTTGAACTCAGGTCCTCCTGACTCCAAGGCCGGAGCCCTATCCACTGTGCCGCTTAGCTGCCGCAACACTATAGATTCTTGATATCAACTCTGTTCCTCTTTCAACTAAGAAAAACCCAACTACTTTTTCCAGTCTTCTAGTGATTCCTTCTCATTTCTGCAGCTACAATCCTCAGTGGGAGCTCACCTATAAGCAATACCAAATTTATGTATAAAGATTCTATTAATCACTTATAGTACTGAAATCATTAGGATAGTGGTAAATTTCAGCATCATAAATATACTTACCAAGTCAGCATCTAAACCATAAAGACAATGTCTGACGTTTGGATCATGATCTGGCTTTCCCTTCTCAGATCGGATAAATTCCATGATTTTGTGCTCTCCTTCTCCTGGAGTCTGAACATAAAGCCAAAAAAAAGGGGTAATATGTTATATTTTAGAAAATCACATTTAGAAAAAAGCTGCAGTCAAAAGACAAAATAACCTCATGGCCTGATAAGTAGATAGTAACTCCCTGCCATGACTTGTCTGAGGAAATCTTCACATTTACAAAATACTTCAGATGCTCATGTAATCTGGCCATGAATTCAGTCCCTGTAAAAAGAAAAAAAATCTTACCTAATGCCATTAAGGAAAGAGCCCACTACCAGCAGCAACAAAAAATAAGCCCTGAGTTCCTAATCTTTAAGTGGCAAGGTACAAGATATATTTCTTGTGGTACTTGAGATGGCAAGCATAAGCTTGCAACGATCAGCAGGGTCTTATGTACATATTAAAATACAGACTATGGTACACTTTTTCCCAGTAAACAGGCTAACAGTGTGGTATAACTTTTGCTTGGTAAACAGTCCACATCATTGAGACAAGGTACCCTAAAACTGAGTCACTGTCAAACAGGAAAGGTAAAAGATATATGTCTTTGTCATGACAATAGGCATCAACTTGAATCATGGCTCAGTGGTAGGGCTCTTTTGGGACAATAGAATATAATCTTGCTAAGCACACCCTTGTACCCTGTCTTTCCTTGTAAGATTTCATTTTAAGAAATAAAACTTTTAAGAGTTGTTAAGAATCACTCCCACTATTGCTACATTTCTACTGCCTGTAGGGTTGTTCCAGAGAGAGTGTAGGGGAAGATAACAACGGATTACAAAGAATCAGATAGAAATGTTTATTTCCCCTGTCCATGTGAATAGTGGATTTAGTCACTTGGAAATTTAAGACTAATATTCAGGAAACTGACAAATCTAGTAATTCTCTGAGATACAAGTGGGAAAACACAACAAACTGAACACTGTGTCCAGGATAAAACAACTGAAGAATGAAATATCTTTTTCAAATACTTGTCAATGAACATTTTAAACCTTCCTCAAAATTTCTTTCTAAATATATTTACCTGGTGTAATACAGTTGGAGTCAAATCTTGCTTCTGTGGGGAGACTTTCTCCCTTTTCTAATGCTTTTTTGATTTTGTCCTCTGCCTCCTTTGCTGCCCTTAAAAGTTAAGGGGGGAAAAAGTGTTTTAAATACCCTGAGAAATGAAAATAATGGGCACTATACTAAGTTAATTTTTTTTAGACTTAAGATTTCAGAAAATGTCTTTCCTGGAACACCCAGAATAAAATTAATGACTCTTCTACATTTTCATTCCACAATTGTGATATTTTAAAAGTTTAAGACTTTTATCTCCTGAAAAATGTTTTGAACGAAAAATGATTGGTGAAGATAATCTACAAGATTTTATATTTTTGATATAATAAGTGAATCACTGAGTACCTCATGAGAGGACTATTGAGTTGTAACATTGTAAACAACTTATTCATTCCAGAGAATCACAACTGTGGTTAAAACTGAACCTCAAGAACTCCAGAAAACAGCATTTGAGGCTCTTCAAAGCTTTTTTTTAGCTTTAATAGATTAAAACTGCACTAGGGGTTTTGGGACAACCTGTGTCTACATATCAGAAGACAAATGTTCTGATAAAACACTAAAAACGACAAAACAAAATTACAGAATTTTCTTTTGTCTACCATTTTTTTTAAAAAATGTTTCAAAATAAAAATCAAATAACATTAATTACCTCTGTTATCAAGATTATCTTATTTCTTTGCTGAAACATTAAAATAACAGAAACCCAGAAGACCTTTTAGAGAACTACCCAGGACTAGCCCTGTGCTGTCCCACAGCTGGATCCCTATGAGTGCCTAGACCACAATTCTATGTGATAAAAGACATTTACTTAACTAGTCTCACTAGGCTTCAAATGAAGACTGTGTCCGCAATATTTTTACTCAATTTTGCGATTTTTCTGTGTGCTGAACCTTACCAAAGCATGATATTCTTGCTAATATAATTGTGCAACCTATAAAAGGAAACTTAAAAGTATCTCAAATTCATTACTTTTCAAATTTCCACTCCTATTAAGACAAAACCATATATCCAGATATGATTACATAAAACCACTGAGTGATCAGCAATATTACAAAAGGATTTCTCAGTCTACAAAAGGATTCACTTTGTGATATCTTTACATATAACAGTCACATAAGTATTGGTTCACATGTTTTAAATGTATTTGACAGGAATTATAGACAACAGGAAAATCCCTCAAGTATTAAGAAAATCCTGTCATGAGTTAAGATCCTTTTCTGTTAAATCAATTACAACTTATCTCTGAAATAACAAATTCAATGGGAAAATATAATTAGATTTTTTAAAAAATCATCTGTCCTTATCACTTTGGGAACATCTCTAGAGCACAGAGAGCAAATACCACATAGCAAAGTATAGTGTAGAAGACAGAGTAATCTATAACCATGGGCTAGTCATTTAACTTTGCTGAGCTTCAAGTAACTTGTTAGGCCATGAGTTATAGAAGCGTTGTGATATGGAAGAAACTTCCATACCAGCAAAATCCTGGATCCTTGAGGTACTGATGTACTAACTTCATTAAGTAGCAAACACCAAAACTGTCAAAGTTATACTGCTATAATTCAGTAACTACTCAATGTGTGACCTACACTACTAAATAAAAAATATACCTTTCTTTGCTTTCTATTACATAAATTTCTGATCTTAATTTCCTATAAGCTATAATGACTATTTGTTTAAAAATTAGCTAAATAAAATATATTTTAATGAAAGGAAATGGTAATTACAAAGATCTATCACAGCTTCATTAAGAACAGTTCATGCCCAGACTAACATTATTTCCTTTTTCATAGTTACTAAGCTGGTATATTACAGAAATGCTGTAGCAATCATTTACTTAAGACTGTAGTCAAGTACTTCCTACTATTCTTGTAGAAAAAAATGGATCATAAGATCATAGATCAAGATCTGGAAAGGACCTCAGAGGGATGTGGTCCAATTCCTTTCTTTCACAGATGAGGAAACTAAGGCTCAGAGATGCTGCTTAAGGTCACTCATGGAGTAGGTGGGAATGGTAATCCAACTTCAGAGTATTGCCTGTTCCACTGTACCAAAAAAGAGCTGTTAACAGTTCAAAGTTAATTTAATAGGAGGTCTCCAGTGGAGTACCCCTGGGATTTGTGCGAGGCCTTGTGTTGTTTAATTTTCTTACTAATGATTTAAATAAAGATCTTCAATCTAATTCACATGAGGATCTGTTGAAGAATCAGGGGAGACATCCTGGAGAAGAAAAAGGAAGAAATGACAGTTGTTTTCAAGTATTTGAAGGGCTGTGATATAGAAGAGGAAGCAGATTCTGTTTATTAAGTACCAGCTGGCAAAACCAGGTACAATAGCCACAAGTTTCAAAGAGGCAAGCTGAAGTCTGATGTCAGGAAAAACATCCTAATAGAGATGTATGAAAGTGGAATTTGGAGGGACTGTGGGCTCCTTCTCACTGGAGGTCTTCAAACAGAGCCTGAATGAATTGTCAGGTATGTTATAATATAGCTTCCTGTATGGGCTGGACTAAGAGGTCAACAATGTCCTTTCCAACTCTAGCTTTTATGAAACTTCTATGAAACTCTAGCTTCTATTGAAAAATATCAATAACAGCAACCTAAATTACTATGTAAAAGTCAACAGAACATTATTAATCTAAGACAATACTTTAAAACAAAAGTTTAAAATGTTCATTTTACCGAAATCGTCTCCCACGTTGCTGGTTCATTTTTGCCCTTGGAGCCACACCATCAACTGCCATAAAGAAAACTTTTCTGGGCTTAATAATGCGAAACAATACCTCCAAGTAGTGAAAAATATCAGCAAAAATTTTATCATCGGAAATTCTGAAATGAACATCATCATCATTAGGATGTGAACATTGATGTATGATTCCATTCATATCCAGGTACAAGTTGTCAAATTCGGGAATCTAAAAACCAAGAAGAAAAATCAATTTAAAAAAGATAATTATTTAATGAAAATCAATCATGGCTTCATTTGCAAGGGAGAAAATGATATCACTCATTAAGCAAAGTGAGAATGCTAATTCTAGCAAAATGAAGCACAACTCACCAAAAAAGAGAATGATGAAGTGTATGTATTCAGTGCTGACTTATACAGTAGTGAGCACTTGAGAATGATGTCTTCAGAGCTAATTCAGAATCTGTTTTACTTAAGAAAAGTTTTTCAACTTCCCAAAGCCTATTTCTCCTCAATTAAATAAGTAACGTATGCAAATCAAATCAAAAGGGCTTTCAAAGGAAAGGAAGAACAAATGAAAAAATTGTCTAAGGATAACTACCAAGTTAAATACCATGTAGCAGAGCTGCGATGTAGGTAAGGCCATTAGGAGAAACAGGAGGTTCACAAGATAGATGAAATAACACCAAGGTTGGAAAAGAAATAATTCAGTTCAATTCAAAAAGAAGTTATTAAACAGGTATTATGTGTTGGACACTATGCTAGATGCTGGGGATACAAAGACAAAAATGAAGTAGTTCTTGCCCTCTAGAAGCTTACATTCTACTTAGGAGGAGGTAAAAACAACATATATGAGAAAAAGTAAATATAAATTACAGACAAGTATCATTTCTGATGGGAGGGGGAGTCACAACTATGGGAATCATGAAAGGCCTCTTGAAGGTGCTTAAACTGAGTTCTGAAGGGAGCTAGGGGAATTTAAAGAAGTGAGGAGGGAGGGCATCCTAAGCATAGGAAAAGCCTACACAAACACAGAGATACAATGCCTACTTCAAGGAAATTGCAAGTATTAGCTTGGCTACAACCCAGTGTGTGTAAACGTCAAGTCAGCAAGCATTTTTAAGCACTACTATGTGTGAAACAAAAATAGTCCCTGCTCTCCAGGAGATCACAATCTAATCAGGAGGGCAACTTGCAAATGACTGTAAAAACAAGACATATATAGAATACAGATTGGAGAAAACTCCAAGGAAAGGCTCTCATTAAGGGAGATGGGAAGGCTTTTTGTAGAAGGTGGGATTTAAAAAAAAAAAAGAGTAGCTAGGCTGAGGGAGTTGTCAATAGTGTCAAATGCTGCAGACAGGTTGAAAAGCATGAAGACAGAGAAAGGCCACTGGATTCAGCAATAAAAAGATCACTGGTGACCTTAACGAGAGCTGTTTCAGCTAAAATGATGACGAAGCTAGATTTGTAAGGGTAGAAAAGTGAGTGGAAGTTAAGAAAGTAGAGTCTTTAAAAAAATTTTTTTTAATCTTTTAGGAATTTGGCCATGAAAGAAAGAAGAAATAGGATGACAGACTGGGACAGATATTGGTAGGATGAAGTGAAGGCTTTTTTTTTTCTTCCAACTGATGTGGAAAATCTGGGCATGTTCATAGAGAAGTTAATGGATAAGGAGTGATGTGGAATCTCTTGAAATGAGATTCAGAACGAAGGGCTAAGCTTCCAGAACAGATGAGAATCTATAGTAGTAACAAGGTACAAGTAGAGGGGTTAGCCTTGCAAGACTCAGGAGCCAAGAGAGAATGGATGATGTTAAAATGACTTCAAGTGCAGAACTGAGGGGAAGGGGAAATTTATGTCAGATGGCTTCATTTTTTTCAGTAAAGTATAATGGGAGGTCCCCTATTGAGAAGGAGGTGGGTAAAGATGGTTATAAGAGGTATGAAGAGAAAATAGGTTTGTGTGAAGTGAGAAAGAGAGACAATCAGAGAAGAGAGGGGGACTGTGTGAAGCACTGAAGATCCAGTTGAGATTAGATAACAAATTTGCAGTGGATCCAGGCACTGTAATTGTGATTTTCCCCTCAGCCATGCTCAGCAATATGCAAGTGAAAACAAAGAAGGTAGATGGGGGAAAATAAGACAAGACTGGAGTTTTGAAAAGATGAGCAATGAGAGAACAAAGGGGCAAGAGACTCACTGGCAACGGCCTGGGTAAAGCTGAACTGGTGAACCATGGGGGCAAGATTTCAAAGGAAGGAAAGTGAGGCAAAAGGTCTTGGAAAAGTGGAGAGGAGTACAGTGACTGAAGGCTTAGGATCCAAGAAGAGAACCCTTTTCCCTTTCAGGAAGCAGAGGGGTTCAGTGGAAAGGTCATCATTGATGCTAGAGTCAAAGAACCTACAGTCAAATTCTGCCTTTGACGCCTCAGCGCAGTGCCCAGGCACTACATAAATGTTGGTGTTAACAGGATTTTTACTGAGCCAGTCTCTAACTTGGGAACGATAAAACAGCAGGCCAGAGACAAAGTGCTAGTAATCAAGTAGTGGTTTAATTAATTAGTTTCATTATGAGGAACAGATTTGCAAATCGGGAATTCTCCTGATCAGAATTCCACCTTGAAGGCATGTGAAGGCAGAGATTTTATACATAAATCACAAGTAGGGAGGGGAAAGGCGGGTTATAAACAATCATTTCCCAGGGTCTAAGTGGTTTCCCACAACAAGCCCACAATGTAGATGTCCTGAAGTTCTGTGGGAACAGTGTTATTTCAGGTCTGTGGCTATTTGATGGGTCACAGGACCAGAGCTCTGTGATGTGAACAGGTTCTACAATCTCTGATTCACTTCATTTATAAACAGGCACAAGAATGCTGTGATTGTGAGAGTGTTGTCAAGGGTTTGACTGATCATTTCAAGCTGCACTGTAAGCTTCTGACTTGCAAACCAGAAGAGGCAATTCTGAAAAATCCAAATTATTAGTATATCCATTACACATATCGATTAATATGAAGATCACAATTTCCTTCGCATTGGTCATTACTCACTGTGTGTTGGGTGCACTTGGGTAAATCACTTCATCTCTGCAGGCCTCAGTTTCTCTATCTGTAGAATGAGGCAGCTGGCCTAGGAGGCTTCCGAGGCTCCTTCCAGCTGCAGTCCTGTAATCCTGGTCCTACTGTACTCTGCCCTCAGATCACTCTGAATCACCGTGCTCGGGTCTGGGTGATACATTTCAGAAAGGATGAAGATGATGGTAACACATTCATACGGTATCTGAAGGTCTGCGAAGCACTTTACATGTTCTCTCATTTAAACCCACAGAGGAAGTGGGTATTATCCCCATTTTACAGACTTCGACACAGAGGCTGAGAGATTGAATGACTTGCCCTCAGTCACAAGGCTTCTGAGGTTCTGAGCTATATTTGAATGCAGGTCTTAGCGACTCCAGCCCTCTGTCCACTGTGCCGCCTAGTTCCTCAGTAAGTTGTAAAGTGTCCAGGATCTCATACTTTCTGTCTCTCCCTCCAATATATTTCCTTCTCTCCCGTCACACAGCTACCACCCCAGTTCAGGCCGCCTTCTCGCCTGGACTACTGAATAGCCTCCAGTTTCAAATCTCTCCCCACTCCAATCCACCTACTACAAGTTGTAAAAGTGATTTTCCTAAAGTCTAGGTCTGACCATGTAATTTTCTTATTTGATGATTCCATTTGCTCCCAATTATTTATGATCCAAATTTCTGCTTGCCTTTTAAAGCTCTTTCCAACCTGGGGCCATCTTCCTTTCTGGACTCCTTACCAATCTCCACGTACTTGACCATCCAGCTATGCTAACCTTCTTGCTCTCCCTCACACAGAACATGCCACCTCCCGTCTCACTGCCTTTGTACTGGCCAGCCCCCATGTTTGAGATGTTGTTCTTCCTCACCTCTGCCTTTTGGAATCCCTTTCTGTCTTCAAGTCTCAGCCAAGGGCTACCTTCTACAAAAGGCTCTTCCTGGTTTTCCTCTTTAAAATATGTGTTTTGTATACACCTAAACATATCATATTGTTTCCATCATTAGAAATATTAGCTGCTAAAGGGATGGGACTGCTAATTCCTTTTTAGTCTCTGAATAGTGCCTGGCAATTAAGAGGTGATTAGAAAATGCCTGATTGATGCCCTATCAAGGTAAGTTGAAGGAACTGGGACTTTGGGCTGGAGAAAGGAAAACTAAAGAAGGGAGAATGTGATAATTGTCTTCAAATACAATGGTCAAGGATTGTTCTAATAAGGCAGTACTATGGAGAATTAATTTTTTTTAAAGGAAGGGAATAATAAGCATTTATATGGCATGCCAGGAACTGCTAAGTGCTTTTTCTTTTAAACAACTATTATCTCATTTGATCCTTACAATAAATTTGCAAAGTAGGTGCTGTCACTTTGCTCATTTTAAGAGTTGAGAAAACTAAGGCAAATGGAGGTTAAGTGACTTGCACAGGGTCATACAGCTACTAAATACCTAAGGCCAAATTTGAATTCTGGTCTTCCTGAATCTAGGCCCAGCATTCTATACACTGTGCCACCAGATGCCTCCATTTTTTGGGAAAGTGTTCTTAAGAATTAAAGCTTCTCGGGGGCAGCTAGGCAGTGGATAGAGCACTGGCCCTACAGTCAGGAGGACCTGAGTTCAAATCCAACCCTAGACTAAACACTTGACAGTTACTAGCTGTGTGACCCTGGGCAAGTCACTTAACCCCAATTACCTTAAAAAAAAAGAATTAAAGATTCTCAAAAGTGAAATGGGCTGCCTTGAGACGTAGTGAGTTATTCCTCACAAGAAGCTTTTAAACCAAGGCTGGTCTTCAGGTCCTCCCTGCTTCTCTTCTGAATAGACTACTGCAACAAGTTTGTTTCTTCTCCATTCCCTGGCACTCCTCTGCTTAAAAAATTTCAGTGGTTCTCCACTGCCTCTAGGATAAAATACAAATTCCTGTTTGGCATTCAAAGTCCTTTTCACCTTTTTCACCAGTTTCCCTTCCCAGCCTTCACGTATGTATATCGTTCCCCTCCCTGCCTTCTGTTGTCTGGCTAGCTTGGCCTGCTCACTGTTGTTCCCACACTCCATCTCCTTCCTGGCTCTGGGCTTAAGCACAGGCTGGAATGGTGGAATGCTCTCCCTCTTTGCCTCTGTTTCTTAGAAATTCCCTTTTCCTTCAAAGCTCAGTTCAAGAGACAAAATGGTG